ACGGGGGGAGCAGGAGCCCAGCTAGTTCCCGCGCGCCCGGAGCGGCAACAAGTGCCGAGCGGCGGCCAGAGCCTCGGGCCCCGCTGCCGTCGCGGGCCGCGAGCGGGATCCTGCTGGACGCGGCCCAAATGCTTCGGTGGACCTCACTCCAAGTGGAAAATAACCCCTTTCTTACTGGGGCAGGACCGCTCCCATCTTGCGGGATGGGGAGAAACGGCCTGAACTGCGCCCAACTTGCTGCTTCGGGCCCTGTTTCAGGGAAAGCGGCCACTTTGGGAGCGCGCAGCGAGCGGCCGAGATGGCCGGGCTCGGCGCCGACATGGAGCGAGGGCAGCAGCGTTTCAAAGGTTGCGGGATACGAACGCGCTGCGTTTCTCCAAACGGTGCCCGTGATTTATGATCATTCCTGCAAAACAAGGTGATTTATGATCATTCCTGCAAAACAAGGAAATGAAGCCTAACATGAAGCAAAAAATAATCCCCCCAAAAAAGAGAGAGAAAAAAAGCAAGTGCTGCAGATGAAATTGCAATTTTAAGAACTGTTTGCCCACCCTGCCGTTAGGGAGGGAGGAGGCGGAGGGAGCTCAGCCTGTGCTCGCAGGCTTTGCTGCCAGTTTCTTCTGTGCGGAAGGCAGCCCGCGTGCCCTGGAGYGGATCGGCAGCTCCGCGGTGCCTGGTTTGGTGCCGCTCCTTTGGCAGCTTGCAGAAACCCTGGCCCGGTTGCGGCCACAGGGTAGAGATCACTTTCTCGAAAGAGTTCTCCCGAAGAATGGCTTTGGGCTAAGTTTCTCCAAGTGCTGCCAAAGGGGAGCAGCGCTTATCCCCGCAGCCCTGCTCCCGCACAGGAATAGGCCCTGCTTAGTTCTCTGCTTGCCAGGCCTGGATTAAGTCAGGGCGCGCTGTGGAGGCGGCTGTAGCCGGGGCGAAGGCCATAGCGGAGCCCCAGGCCGCCCGGCACTGGTGGGAGCGCGGCGGGATGGCCGGGCCGGGCCGAGCCTGCTGCGGTGACCCTGTGCCGCTGCCCTTGGGTAGCCGGGCTGTGCCCCTTGCGTGAGCGCCCGGGGCCCGCTTGCGGCCTGAGCGGCAGCGAGGGAAGGGCTCCTGCCTGCAGCACCAAAGCTCCACGGTTTGCACTTGGTGGTTGTCCGGAGTTAAGAGCCTATTGCCACGTCTGCTGTATCCATCCCTTCCTGATCAGAATACTTGCAAAGTAATGTCTGGGTTTGTTGGAGTATGAATATGGGTGAGAATCGGGATGAATGTTAGCTAAAACTTCATGCATCATCTAATCTGAACTTTGCTGTAGCTAGGGCTTTTTAAAATTACTTGTTCCTTGAGCAGAAAGCATTGAAGGCCATGCAGTGAAGGCGTTAGCCTTGGGATTGCACTATATATGTTTCCTATACTATATAGTTGTGGATGCACTATATATATTTCCCAGTTTGCTGTTGAGACCTAAAAATCATTAGTGAAAGCAAGTATGGGATTAAGTAATTTTTTTAAAAGTTTTTATATTTTTTATTTGTTAAAATGGTCACTTTGTCGCACTGTTAAAATGAGTCATATCCAACATGAAACCAGTTTTTTTGATGTTGATGGGAGTTTGATATCTAATAGTTCTGTGTCTGTTAACTGTTAGTTTTCTCCATATCTTCTGTTTCAGTGTGCTTAGTTTCTATTTAAGCACATTTCATCTCAATGAAGTTGCCACATCTGATGACTTTGCCACCTGTAGCCCATTGGTTACCCCCAGACTTAGCTGCAGCACTAGTTCCCTTGCAGTTTCTTGGTAGTAGGCCTTAAGCTGAAGAGAAGCTTTAGCAGAGGGTACCTCATACTGAGTCTCTTGGCTAATTTTATAAATAAAAATCAGATTTGATGCAGAGGAAATTTGGAGGGTGGATATTTGTTTGTTGTAGGTTAGCACTTACCAAGCGTGAGTTACTAAGTACTGTTTTTTGGTGGGAGAGAGAAATGTTTATTGCTGTTAAGAACATCCGTGTGCTTGAAGTGCCATGGAGAAGGAGATCTGTCCTGCAGGTGTTCTTGGAAGTGGTTAACTGTCTTGGAAATGGGGAAGAATATTATGAATTCTCAGCCGATGGCTAGTTTATAGCTGTTGAGAAACTGTGAATAGCTCTGTGTGAGTTGATTCATTTTGGGGTTAGGCAGAGTATTCCATGGCTGTGATGGGAATGTACACAATACACTTTAGTGGTACTGTTGAACTTTTAAAATCGTATGCRTTTTATGTTTTCCTCTCATATATTCTCATGATAAATCTGCTTTGGAATGCTTGCATTTCTCCTCTGTTCTCTGAACAGTACTCCAATTTTATTGAAGTTTTCCCCTATGACTGCTTTCTAGCAAGCTTCCTCATGGGCAAAAGCAAACTCAACTTGTATGTGTGATTTTTATTTGCATGTATGTGCTTTGTTTGTTTGTTTGTTTTTTGCATATGCGTAAGGCAATTGCAGGATTCGGGTTTTTTCTCCCTCTTTGCTTTGGGAAGTTTGGTTTGAGAATAGTGATTAGCTTTAAGTATGAAACTAGTTTTCATATTTTCAGGAATCCTCTGAGTCTTCAGTAGAAGGCTTCTGTGCAGAGTTAGGAACTGGCTACCAATTTAATCTATTTTGGTAATTAGAGAGGAAAAAAAGATGATGTATTCCATCCAGAACAATTATAAATCACTTGCAGATGGTTTCAGCAGGATGTAAAAATAACAGGTTCMTCTGAGTAATAGTAAATGTCCTCCAGGTTCTTAGCTTAATTGTGATCTGATATTTTTCTGTTTGGAGAGGCAGGGAGTAATTCTTGAAATATTCTTTTTATGCAAGGCATGTTTGCTAAAATGTAACCCATTTAAGCAGTGAACATCTTACCATCTTTAATACTTAGGCAACACCCTGTTGTATTCTCCATATCTAAATGTGTGTTCCCGTATCTAAATCCAGTATTGTTAATGTCTACATGTCATGTAGACATGAAAATGATCCCAAACTAGTGGCTTTTATTCCCCTTCTCTGATCTGTGCAYGGAGTTATGTCTCTGATCTGTGCACTTCCTCCCTGTATAGTTACATCTTCAATTTCAAGATCTTTTGTACGACTTAAGCTGCCTAAATTGCTCTCGTGGTGTTTGGGTTTCGATTGTGTGGCAGGCCCAGGTAGCCCTTTCCCATGTGGCCGTGCAGTTGCTTGAGCACAGATTCCGGTGTTACATAAACAGGCTGCAGTTCCCCGCTCGCAACGTGCCGTGTCACACAGCGCCGGGAAACGAGGCAGGGAGGCCACTGGTGGCTGTTGAGGAGAGGAAATAGTTTATAGGGGAGCAGGATGGGCCCCAGGCTTAGTTTCCTCTTGTGCTGCCTGCACACCTGGGTAACACACACCGCTGCAAAACAGCTCCTACTGTTTTTACAGATAGTTCTCTTTGTGGCTGTAGGCGCAAAGACTTTTTTAGGTGTCTGGACATAATTTAAATCTGTCTACTTTTTGTTAAAAGAAAAACCCTCTGGTGACTATCCTAATTGAAAATGTATAAAGATTTGTAAGCGGCAGCATTAGGAATAAAGAGACAGTTCAGTGAGCTTTTTTCTGTACCTACAAACGACTCGGGAAATGTGACACTGACTGCTCAGGAATTTGCTATGAAGGGAGCACCTCGGGAAGCTACATGGGAGAAGCCAAGGTTTACACATCTCCCTGAGCACCCAGCCCAGTGCAAGATGCATATAGCCTGGGTAAGATGGGAAAAGAAGTGGCAAGGGTCATTACATTTAAACTTGGAATGGACGAAAGCGTTTTTGCTGAAAGACAGGCTGGTGGTGGGGTGTTTTACTGGACTCGAGCTGTAGGGTTGGTTGCTTGAGCTCGGCAGGACTTGGGCTGTAGAGGAAGCAGCATCACCAGCAGTAACACTATAGCTATTCATAAGCACTCGAGACTGAAACTAATGGCTTTTTACTTGTGTTTTTGTACTGGGGTAGCTTGCTATAGATTGTTGTTAAAATTGAAAGATTACTGAGGCCGGTGTGTACCAAAATGAGACTTCTGTGTCTTTTTTTTTTTTAGTCACTGAGCATACATTACATACATAGAGAATAAAAGAATTATTAAGGCATCAAAAGCACTCTTTTTKKGGGGGGGGGGCTCGCATGTGAACAGTAGTTGCTGCAGCTCTTGCTAGCGTGTAGAAATGTGAGACGACTGAGCTGTCGTCTTGGGTTTGTGGGGTGCCTTTCTGCTTTTCTGTTTTRTGGTAGCATGCTTCATGGTAAGAGGATTGGTTTTATTTCCAGTGTTAGGAATTGGCTCGATTCCCCCCTGCAGGACGTGTCTGTTCTGGTCATCTGACTGCCGCAGCCTAAGATAGGYGCTTTGCTAGGCAGCGTGAGTTGAGAGGTGGATTTGGGCACTTTAAACTTGAAGTAGTTGGGTCCATCACAGACAGCTGTCCATAAATAAACAGGCTTTGAAAGTGAAAGAGGAAAACAATTAGTTTTTTCACTGCAAGTAGACGTTTCAAAGGTTGAAGAAGTTACCYGTGTTCATCTAGGGATACATTTGTTACTTTAAAGCAGGGATGCAGATCTTTAAAMGTGGCTGTGCTATGGGGGAGGAGGGCAGGAGCACTTTTGCCTTTAAGGGAGCATCTTRGCTTGCTAAACTGTTTAAGTATCCACTGCCGTAGGAATTTTCCCATGACTTCACTTAAACATTGGTATAGTAATATGTTTAAGGTGTGCATGTTTCTGTTAATAAACAGTTACTTTAGTGTACATATGCTACTTCAATGTGCAGGCCACCAGAACTTTGTGCTTTGTTTTGGAGTGCTGCTTAGGTGCTGTGTCCTTATATGCTGTGTCACTGGATTTTAAAAGTTATGTTAAATGTTCTGCATTCTAATAAATATTCATAGTTTCAGAAAAGTCAGATGTGTAATAATAAATATGATAAATCAGTGCTATGATTTCATGCTGTAGCTAATTATTGTGTCTTCCACTATAGGTTGCACAGAGCATTGAGGATCATCATCAAGAAGTAATTGCTTTCTGCAGAGAAAAAGGGTTCCATGGTTTGGTTGCATATGATTCTGATTATGCATTGTGCAACATCCCTTACTATTTCAGTGCCCATGCCCTAAAACTGAGCCGTAATGGGAAAAGTCTCACGACAAGCCAATATCTAATGCATGAAGTTGCCAAGCAACTGGACCTGAATCCAAATCGCTTTCCTATTTTTGCTGCTCTTTTAGGTAAGTGAAGCAATAAAAGAACTTGATGTTGCTAGTCACGCTTATAACTCCAGTTTCTTTTAACACTGTTTTAAAATGTGTAGGCCTAATTAAGTGAAAGCATGTAAGCCAAGCTATGCCTTCATTTCAGTCTCTGCTGTTCTTGAGGTGGGCCAGGCGCTGGTGGTCAGGCCAGACAGATGCTGAATTTGTTGAGATGTGAGAGTGATGCCCGCAGTGACGCTCTAGAAACAAGAGTAGGAAGTAAAAGTTCTGCAGAGCTGTTGCATAGCCAACGTTCTCAGTGTGGGGAGAAAAAAAGAAAAAAGACAACTGTGGTTCTACTAGTTTCACAGTTTATGTAGCATTTAAGATCTAATTTAATAGGACTCTTTTCAGACTAGGAGGTCCTATTTTATGTTCTAACAAACAGAGATTTCTGGGTTGCAGGAGCTTGTTCACCCCAAGAAGGGAAACCAGTCTGACAGCACATCAGTTGCACTGGAAGTATATTCTGCCATAGCTGAGTGAAACTGCACTGACAGTGTGGTAACCAGAACTTTATCATTCTCRTTACTTTTATTTGTATAGTTTCTTGCTGCTCTTGCCTCTAACAGTAAATGGTGTAGTATATTAAAAATGAATTTTCCAGACTGGTGGTAAAGTATACCTCTGAGGTGCTCTCAGATGGAAGAAAGATTTAATGACTAATAGTCTCCAATTAATAAGATTTGTTTGGAATAGTATTCTAACTTCATGTGAATAGTCACAGAGTAATCATGGYTTTGATTATCAAAAATTGGTTTGTATTCTCATGTTCCTCACAGACTTAGTGTATTAGTGTGGACGAATGATGTAGCATGAAAGTAAAAATTGAATTCCTAATGTATAAAAGTTTCTCATCAAGGCAGATATGTCACATATGAATAAGGAAAGAACCCATGTGTATTACAGTAGAAAGCATCAAATATTTGAAGTTTTTTTKCTTAATGTACAAATTTTTCATGTCAAGAATAGTTGCCTGCTCATATGGTTTCATGAAAGAATGGCAGGCAATTGGCTAAGCACCAATTTAAAACAAAAGATCTGGGTAAATKGCATGACAGAGGCTACTATTGCTAGGCTTTGTTTTGGATTGCTATAAATAAGTTGTTGAATGCCAGTTCAGTGAGTAAGGATTACTGTTTGAAGAGCAGTTTCACAGTTACAAGACGTGCATTGCGGAATTAAAGTACATGCAAATGTAGGATCACAAAACCTATCACAGAGATTCAGCTTGCTAGTTGAGCCATTGCTAGCTTGGGTGAGCTATGTGAAAAATGGTAAAACTTTTGAAGCTTTCGAATTTTTATGCAAAAAGCTTTGGATATTTTCTTGTTTGATATTTTTTATGGCAGAATGTTTTTTAGCTTGTTCTGAGGAGAAGGAAACTGATGTCACTAAGGTTTATCTCAGTTGATTAGTGAGAAGTTTTTCTTTTATTTTTTTTTCCAAATTGATACAAACCTTTTATAGCTAAACTGCAAGTTTACTTGGTTTGTATGTGTGTGGTTTTGTTCTGAGCTTCTTTTGTGTGTGTATTMAGCAGAAGAGAAGAATTTTTGGAAGGTACATGTAGAACAGAAGATTCTTCAGATTTCTTACTGTGCTGGGTGTTTTTATTAGTGCGTTTTATGAGACCTAGGTATTTGGTGGTATAAACAGTGATTGTATAATTTTGCAACAAACAGGTATTGTTTGGCTTAAGGTACTGGCAACAATTTTTGACTCCTACATCCTGATGAACCTAGCAACTTAGTTTTTAAAATAAATATTAAATGCATACAGATCCGTAATTGTGTACTGCAGCATGTGTTTAAAGCAGGGTAGCTAATCAGATCTCAATATGTCTTTTGATATCTGAGGACTTGCATGACTTCACAGGTCATTCTGACTTTGCCCCGTGGTCTCTGTGGATTTCTCTGAATCTCATAAGTAGAAAGAAGAAAATCACAACAAGAAAGTGCGACCAGGAACTTGCCTGTAAGGGCAAATATATGAATCTGTTACATTGTTCTGGGTGCATCAGTGTTGATCCTCATGCTAGCTCTTTGCTTTGGAATAAATGAATATATCCCAAAATGATTGCAGTTAAGCTGCTGGCTTGATGTTTACCATTAGGGGAGGACAAAACTATCATAACAGCTGAATAATTATTGTGCTTTGGGTCTGCAAATCAGTTTTCCCATGTAGGGAGAACTTGAACTGCTTTGTTTTCAGAAACTTTGTCGTTAGCTTCAAGGCTGAATTTTGCTGAAAGAAGAAGCTGAAGGGGAACTGAATCTAGCAGCTGAGAACTGAATGCACTTGGAGAGTTTTTTCCTTCAAGTGTTCAGCAGTAGGAAGGGCCTGTGGYATCACAACTGACCGGTCAACATCCCTGCTGCCAATTCTTAATGACAATCTCTGCAACCGAGTTCTTTCAGGAATAGTCTTTCTATTTGAGTATTCCAGGAAAAGATTTTTTTTTACTGTACGAACTAGACAAATTTAGAAAAATTACTGTATGAGAAGCTTACATACACAGTGTGGTTTGTTTGTTTGCTGCGCTCCCCTTCTTGCTAGTTTACACACSAAAGAGATTCTATAGTATTAGCTTTATAATGCAGGGAATATTCTTGCCATAAGTAGTTGGAATGTGGCCAAGCTACAGTGTCCTGTGAGAGCAGGCACTTTAGTTCTGACAGTTATTGCTGGTGTAAACAATTTGATTTGGGCTATTTTGAAGATTTTGTCTTGAATACTTCAAAATATTTTTTAAAACAATCTTTGGTAGGAAAACCAAGCAGTGTGTTGTATATAGAGTTGTAATTCTGTGAACCCTTTAGGAAGGCTTTAGGAATTGAAGCAGTGGCTTCAATTAGCATCTAATTGCTTTAAAAAAAAATCTAAAGCATACCCTGTAATAAGCCATTAAAAGGGAAGAAATCAATATACGTTGAGGTTTTTCAGCCAGGTCAAGAAATAGAGGTTGCTTATGTAACGTTGATCTCTTTCCCACTGTGACAGTGCTTTATAACGTGTTTAGTTATGTAGTCACACTCTGTTCTTCAGGAAAATTTTAGAAGGCTGTAAGGTAAATGTAGGCACCACTTGCTATTTGGACTGCAGAGGACACTGCTATACTTGAACATATTAAATATTAAAATTTAATATATACTGAAAATTGATGGAATTTCCAGACTGTCATATGCATATATTCGGGAGGATAGAATTAACTGTAATGACAGATGGAGCCCAAACAAGATTGAGGTTCTGGTGTAAGGGAGAGAAACTCTGACCATTTTAAAAGATAATCTGGAAATCTGCAGGAGTTATTGTTAGTTGCACACAAAGCTTTCCAGTGCTCTGGCTTTAATTGATTTTTCCAGACCTGTGTTATAAAAGCTGTATAATCCTACCTTAGTTAAATTTTATTGACTGAGATTAGTAATAGCATGGCTGCTACATAAAAAAGGCAGAATATCTTTTTGATATGAGTTTAGGATTTAGCTCTTGGTGAATAGAGACTATAATGCCTCCCTGCTGGAGGTCTCAGCAGCAGGGGAAGGGCTGTTTGGATCTAGAGAGCATCCAGTAGTCAGCAGGCAGTGGATGGCCTTCGTTTGCACATATTAAAGAATATTAAAAGGAAATTAATATATTTTAAAGGCAAAATGTTAAGAAAGTAACTGTTGTGGTTGTTTTAGCACTTTCATATTCTTTGTGAGTGGGTAAGAATTCAAGATGTCCAAACCGTAGAATGACCACAAAAAAAGCAGCTGCAACTACATTCCCAACAGTAGAACTATGTATTTCCTGCTAAATTGCCACTCTTGGAAACCAAATCCTGGAAGTATCCCTAACTTTTGTATTAGGAGCACAGTCAGACGTTCTGTCTAGCTTCTTGTAAAGTCTGGCTTCCGAGATACTGACCTCTATCTGTTGGTAATAAATTAGCTGTTTACTTGATTTATTCAGGTGTTTGAATATTTCTTCACTAATTTTTTTTTCTTGATTATGATGTGCTTTGAAAAGAAAAGATTAAGTAACCTTCCATTTGACACAAGTTGCTTGGTAGATGGAGCTACCATCTGTAGTCATGGAAATAACTAGATGGCTTTCTGATTGCTCTCAAAGATGCCAACCCAGCCTCTAACACAGACTCTTGCCCAGCCTGGGAGAGCAGCAGATGGGACTTCAGGAACTGGGAGGTTGCGAGTGTCAGCGGGAGCTGCCGGCATTCCTGAGGGCTGGATAAGCCGGCTGCGCAGGCTGCCGCTGCAGCGGAGCGCTGTGCAGAGGTGCCAGCGGTAGCTCTGGAGGGAATGGGTAGCCCTGTGTGTGCCACAGTGCAGGAAGGACTCCCAGCCTGGCTCTGGGAGCAGCACTGTGCCCTCCTCTACTGCTGCACCTGGATTATTATGTCCTGTTGAGGATGCCCTAACAGAGAGGCCGGGTTGAGGCCGGTGCCCTGCGTTGCCACTGCAGCTCTGGTGCTTCTTGCAGCAAGCTGGGTTTCACCGAGCGGTGCTGCTCAAACAGCAGGAGCTTCCCTTTTGTTTCCCAGCTTTCCAGTGAGGCTTTTGTGAAGTTCTGAATAGATATTTACAATTATTTTCTCTGCAGTGAGCTTATTTATTGTGAATTGAGAACTAACTGCAACTTTGCTTCGTGTAGAGTTGATATATAATGTTTTAAGGCGTGCTTTTAAAATAAAGTTCTGCATTGTATTCTAGGTAATCATATTCTACCTGATGAAGATTTGGCTTCCTTTCATTGGAGTTTACTTGGTCCAGAACATCCACTAGCTTCACTTAAGGTACAAACTTAATATAATTACTAACAGTTAAGCTAAAACCAATCATAACAGCACAGTGTAATAGGCTAATACTTGTCTACTTTTGCTCATGTGATGCAGAGCAAGAAAGAGATTATTCATACAGGCACAAGATAACCTGCAGCCCTTGTGGATGGAATTCACAGCCACTAAGCTAGGCTCTTGGTCTGTCACCCCCTGATGTCCCCTCTCCGTGTTGATTGCAGAGGATAGCTGGGGTGATTAGCCTTACTAGGCTAAACTTAGCTGTTGTGATCCTCCTAAGTGCCCTTCAGCTGCACGAGGAATACGCCAAACAGCTTCAGTGACTGGTTTTACTTTGAGAATATAGTCCCTTTTTTTAAGAGAATTTCTTTTTATTTGTCATGTTCTTAGTTAAAAATAATTAGCTGGATTGCTTTCTACTATGTTCCATTTTGTACTGATTTGAATTTGTGTGTAGTTCTTAGTGATCTGTACCTTTTAAATTGAAGAGCAAATAGAGAGTAGGTCACACAAGAAGGCTAATGTGGCCTTCAGCAGAATTTCTTTTTTTTTTCTCTTTGGAGAGGCAAGTAACTTCAGTTTACAGAATATCTGTTCTGTTGCTTAATCACACTTGCTTTGTGCATTTGCCAAATAGCTATAAAAGGGAAACAGGCCGCATTACAGACAGGGCTGGTAGTGCTGTAGTGCTACCTTTCCCTCAGTCTGTTGCAGTAGATATCTTTTTTTTTTTTCCCCTCCTCCTCCTTTCCCCTAAGGTAAGGGAATATTTTTTTTCCTTTTCCTTAAGGTGCACCACATAACAAATCAAACTGTTGACCTAAAATTAAAGTGTTTTATTGTTCCTTATTGTTGCTTGCACAATAAAGCTGCTGTTTTGTTGTAGCATCTATATAAAAAAAGTAATTTTTCCGTGCTTCTTTCAAACTAGTTGATAAACTGTCAGATGTTTGCAAAATGTTTCTGTGTTTAGGCTGTCAAGTTGAATAGTTTGTTTTATAGGCGCCTTGGAACAGGATTCCAGACACCTGTACTCTATGAAATCCCTTCTAAACATATACAGTGTATTTGATTAGAATGGGAATATGTTTGTCACTTTGCTTCTCCATTTACATTTTCATTAAAAGCAGCGATTGGGCTTTGCAGCCAGCACTGAGGAAATGATGTGTGTTTTCTGAGGGTGTAATTGTGCTTGGTCAGTCCCTCTTCAATTTATTTTGATCTTTTGACCAATATTAATCAGATTTGAAAGTGGTTTGGAATAGCACTTTCCCTATGGCTGTTACAAGCTCTGTGAAAACTGTTGCACTCTTATCAGTAAAAAAGACCCAAATTAGCACCCGTGCTGAGGAAGAAGGCAAGCAGAACGTGCAATTTGTTTCATTTCACAGCAGCTGGTTGGCCATTTGCTAAGTGCATAGCCCCAAATTAACTGCAGCACTTCTGTCTTAGAGCTGRTGCTGGTGTCAAAGAGAATGAAAGAAGCAGGGCTAAAGCAAAAAGAGCACAAGTCTACAGGAAACCAAGCTTCGTTAGTTGCTGTTCATAGAACAGCTTATTTTTTAGCCTCATTTTCAACTGTTCTCATGAGTTGAAAATATAACACGTTTCAATAGCTCATTAGCTTAATTTAGTTTCATTTGATGTGCTAGTGTATCAATGATGTCAGTACAACTGACTGTAGAGACCCTTTTTGTTAATTGCAGATGTGCAGAAAATGACATTCCTTGTAAATTTTGAGTGCTTAAAAAAAGTGCTTATATTAGCCATGAACGCGATAGCAAGAAGTAGTTTCTGAACAGTGATGTGTTTSAGGATTTCAAGCTGTGCCAACGGCTGGAATTGGGGGGTGGTTGCGGTTACAAATCGGGATGTGTTTCCTGGGCTTTACTTACCAGTTTTGTTTGGCTGCATCTATTTAAGGCTACAATTGGGAATTTTCCATACCCGAAAACCAAGGGTTCCACATCCACAGCTCATCCATCTTGCTTAGGATTTATAAGACTTTCTCATTGCATAAAGATTGAAAGATTTAAATCTTTCATATCTAAGACAGTGTGGTCTTGAGCTTCAAAGCTAATAGTGAAGCTCAGTTCCCAGCGGCCTGATTTGTTGCTTTTCAGCATTTTTGAGGTCTGTTAAGACAGGTAATATTATGTGATTTATTTCTGGTGTTCTTTTTTTGCCCTTTTTTATGATGTAGCAAAATAGTTGCTTTTCCCAGGATAGAAGCTTTGCTAGGTCACTAACCCAAAAGTGTGGCTTAAGGAAGAAATTTCCAGTCATCATACAGAGGGCAGTTTGGTGTGTCTGCTGTGCTTGGGTATCAACAGAGTGAGGTGGAAAAAAGCAAAAATAAATAACCTGTCCCTCTGTTGCAAAGAAGCAAATGAGGATGGATCATTCATGTAGGAACATCTGAGCAAACATCTGAGAGGAAGGGAAATGGAAATGAACTTAGCTGGCATGGCAGCATTTTAGATTCAATAGAAGACATGAAGAAAACCATCGTGTCAGCAAAACTGTGAAGTTCTATGGACAAATTTAGATGAAGAGATCTGACTTGCTGCAATGGAGAAAAAGAATGAAAAACTGCTGACATTACATGCTGTTCTGACTCAGGGTCTTATGTGTTTAAATGTCCTTGTGTAAGCAGGTAATGCATCTAATAAATGTGTAGACTGTGKGATTGTGTCCTGTTATTTGTTAGACTGTCTAGAGCAGAACTTGAAAAAGGACAGGGTTTATTCGTCCTTTTGAGAAAGAACTTCAACCCAAGATCTCATTTGGAAGCCTGGAATCGTATTACTTATTTGTGTTATTTTTTAACAGATCAGTGACAATAATTTGATTTGATTCCCACTATGGAAAGGTACACAAACAATCACCTTGTTACAGGAGCTTGAAGACCATATCAGAAAACCATTAGGCAAGGAGTTTCCAATCTCTGGAATGAGTTAGTGTCAAGGTGGGAGCACGTAGCATTGAACAAGTTCAAACTTTATACACCAGGAAAGGTGATMTTGGAAATAATACTAATGCAACTTTCTTCTTTTTTTTTTTTTTTTTTAAGAGAAGAATATGTAAGGAAACTGAGAGGATTGTTGTCTTCATTTGTGATAAACTATCTTAACATTTAAGATAACTGTGAAAGGATGAATGCATTGAGCTATCTTTGGCAAACGCCCGATATGCCTGTCTGCAATATACCACACCCGTGCTTACCTGGCAAAATTAGTTATTTAATCTCTGTCATTGTGTCATGTCAGTAGTGATGGATGCTGCCAAAAAGCCGTGGCAAAATCTGCAAGTTGGGCACCCTACCTGAGTTGCTCTGGGAAATTCTTATCCTTCTCCATTGACTTCAGGCAGCACATGCATTAGGGAGACCCAAAGGAATGTAGCTGCTTGGATAATGCTCTGCAGCTTAGATAACAGAAGTGATACTGATGATATATGTAAATTTTTCCTTTTATGAGTTATAATTAGGTAATTCAGGTTTGAAAAGACTTCAGAAAGTCATCTAGTCCAACCTCATACTTGACTCAGGTGGATGCTCAGATGAGTATCTGTTTTGAGTAGGCATGACAGTAAATGTGAGTCAACTTGTGTTGATTCTTTCTAGATGTGACAAGTTTATTTCGTCAAAACCAAGACAATCTTGTAGCTTCGGGGCTTGTAAGGTTGCTTTTTTGCCTTGCTTTTTGACAAATATCCCTGTAGAATTAATTTCTGTTCCCCACTTAATCTTTACAGAGTGCACTGTTAGGTCACTTTTGGTTTTTCAAGTTTTCCTTTTACAACTAGAGAAGAAACTATCCAATTTTCGATGTCACGTGGTTCCTAACCTGATGACCTCAAAGTGTGTGGTCCACCTCCATGTTCACCTTTTCAGAATGCACTTTCCCTGGTGCTCATTCTCTGAAATTCTTTTGTGGAAGAGGAGAAAAAGAAACGGCTTCTAGGAAGAAATCTCTTTTGATGAGAAATTAGTGAAGTAAGATGCTCATTTTGTTTGGAAACACTGCGAGTGCAACTAAGAGCAAGACTGAACCTTGAGCAGATTTTCTATAACTCCTGCTTCATTTTGTTTTCATACATAACCTTTAATGAACATTTAATGAAGACTAGCTATATTTTTGATGCAGAAAAGTAGATCTTATTTATTTGCTTTTCTTTTTTGACTACTGTGTAGGTAATGACATTTTTAGTTTTGTGGAGGTTATCACAGATGGACTTAGATGTCTTTTAAAACAGARTAAAAGAAAGAAAACTTAAATACCTGGAATGTCTCTGGATCCGCAGTACGTACTTTCAAAAGGTCTCATTTTGAGCATGCGTTATCTTTTATTGCAGATTGGAGCAAAATCTATTTGTGAATAAATGTTGTGAGAGCTAAATTCACCCCAATTTTCTATATTCAGTATACATAATAGTGAATAATTAAAATTTAATAATCTGAAAATGAAAATTATCATGCCTGACTGACTATAGTGTAGCCATGCTGAATATGCTAAACTGAACTAAAATGTGGAGTTGATTTCTGGTGAAGAATGTCCAGATATAGAATGAATATTCTGACATTTTTAAAAAGTAGACTTTAAAAACAGTGAATTATTATCAATGGAAATCTAGGCAAAATATCTGTGTGCTAGATCTTAAGAAGGCAGTCTTAAGAAATTAGGTAATGAATGGATGAAATACAGGTTGGGAAAAATAATTATWTATAGTAAATTGCAGATAAAAAGAGTTTGTGTTGCAGCCCTTTTTTAAAGCTGCAAGGTCTACCTAATGAAGTACTAATTGAAATTGTGCATAAACATTTCTGATAATGCTAAATTGCAGTATTTTCTGTGAAAGTATGGGATCTCTGTTGAGAATCCTAATATAACTAGGTGGGTCTGATGTAAGTGATTGTTTCATCCCACTTTTTTTGGTATATAGGCTATAGACAATATAGACAAAATACAGGCAGTAATTATGATCTCTTAAATCTTGATTCACTGAACTTTGCAAACATGCAGCCTAGTGAAAATCCAGCTGTGCATCAAGCTAGCAATGGAAGACTCCAGAATTGCACGAAGGTTCCCAGCAGCAGTTTTAGAAAGTCCTCAGGCATTCTCTAAAATATAGGACATGTGCGTATCTTTAAACAGGAAAACCCAGTAATTCCATTAGATCAATAATTTGGAACAAGAGAAGGTTACTGAAAACTAGAACGCCGATGATGTAGATAACCATCATTGTAGCTATTAAGCCTCCTAGAAGATTCTTGAAATATCTTTCCAAACTATCAGATCAGATTTGATGATCTTTAAAACCTCACAACAGGTAGTACGCTATAAAAAATAGCATGCAAAGTAGGTTTTCCAAGCAAGCTTCATTTTCTCTTAGTCTGGAAAAAAGGCAGGTTTCGGTAGTTATACATCTGTAATGTATAAGTAATGAGTTGTATTTAAGTTCTTCAGTTTAAACTTTTCCACCAAATAGTTCCGATTAATATCTCTTCTCTTGGAAGAGCAAAAAAGAGTAGCAGTACCCTACAGAATTGGTTTAGAAGGAGGATTAAAGCCTTAACTGAATGAAACATTTAAGGATTTTTTTTCTTAATATCATTGCTTAATGCTTGGCAAAAAGTAAATTGGACAAAAAAAAATCTTTTTCCACATTTTCAGTATGTGAAAATTGTAACAATTTGTTATTGAAAAGAAAAAAAATACTACTTCTGCAGTGACCAGGAGCAGTAATTCTGAGGCAGAAAGGAAAGGGAGGATCAGCGCTTAGGAGGACTTGATACATTTGGGATAATCTGACAACATGCAAAATAAAGAGAAGCTACAGAGTAGCAAGGGTGTATGTGAATTTCCTTTCCTGTCAGTTTCCAAAGGAAGTGGCCACGCTGAATGGTGATAAATTGCATAGGAATTCATACTAGGGATCCATATACGTGCACCATGTAATGAAGTAAAGGGTTTTTTGTTCAGCAGAAATCCTTTAGATGAGAGAAACGTACTGTGTTTCTCCTGTTTCTCAGAAGATGATTTGGATATTAAATTCAAGTAGACAGCAAAATAAAAGTATTGCCCAATTTAGGAGTTTGTTTTAGGAGTCTGTTTTAAGCTTCTCTGTTTTTATATTGTGATTGTTGGCTCTGGAATAAAGTCTGAGTGGAAAGCTCTGTGTAGTTTATCAGATTTCTCCACCTTATTCAATTGAAAGATATCATGTAGTGTTTTTGAGATTTCTATTGAGTTTGGATGGTGGAATCCTCTCTGTAATTATGTCCTATTGGACTTTTCCTGCAGTATCTTAATCAAATGGATCGTTGAGGAAGCATGTGAAAGGCAGAGGGAGTTGGGGTGGTTAAGGACCTCAAGTCTTAGCTGTTGAGGTGCCTTACGAAGCAGAGAGTGAAGCCTGGCCTGGGGAAGAGACGACAGTTGTGTAAACAGTGAAGGAGAAGRTTGGTACTGGCCAGGACAGAGCAACACAGCTTGCTTAATGAAAATACTGTGTGCTTATCTATGTCAAAATAAGCCTGGTTGGAGGCCCCTTTTTCTTTGCGTAAGCAATTTGTGCAGGGAAGAGAGAAAACAGTAGAGAATGGACTGCGGTCCACCAGGTCTTTTCATCTGGCAGCACTCTGCAATACCTGGTAATTTTGTAGTGGTCCTTGATGCCTGCTCGACCTAAAGTTCCCGTTGTACTTATAGGACCACATAGTCCGTGTAAGAGCAGCGATTTCCAGAATTGTGTGCAAAGTGGTGTTTGCTCAGTGTATTTTCACTAGACCCGTCAATAGGAGCTTTGGGATATGGAAGGTTAAAGTTTCCAGGATGATCCAGTTCCTTTCCTTTTCTGCACGTGGCCAAAGAAGAATCTGTAACTTCTCTTGTGCGGGAGAGAAACCGTCTCTACAGTCTTTGGTATCACTGAACTGCAGGAACTTCATCCATAGGGAACCTTGGGAACTCATCCCACAAAGTCCTTCCTGTTCATTCTTACTGCATAGAGAGATCTTTTGTTCCAGAGTCCAAGAGATTCTTATCTTCTCAAACCCGTGACCTGAATCAGTGACCAGTGAATCAATGGGATTCATTTTTTCATAAGAAGGGCTTGAGTAGAAATGTATTGTGGACTCACTTGTAGAGAAAAATCTGTGCTCTGTTTGGACTCAAGTCATATACTTGAGGGAAATGTAACATTGAAGCATGTGTTTCTCATCTGTAGAAAATGCTTAATATATGAGGCTGGGCTTGTCTTAAAGTGGATGTTACCACATCAAGTGTTTTAATACCAAAATTTTGAAACATTATTAATAAACTTGTGTTCTGAAAAGCTTGAGATGTGTCTGCAAACAGAGTGAGTGGGTATTTATATGCCTGTGTTGACACTGAAATGCTTGAAAAGGAATGAAACTACATTTGTATCCCAGGTGGAATAACAGCAGCAAGCGAAGATCCGTACATTCTTCCTTGTCTCTGCATATAAAAGTCTTTTCTTGCCTACAGTATGTTAGATGTTGTGTGAAGCTGTATATATCTRTTTTATTGCAAGTTATATAGAATGCACAAAATTTGAAAATACCTTCAAGTAACATTTTTGGGATAGATTTCTATGTACTTTTGAAAACAAATACCCTGACAGGTTCTTGTCTGTTCCGTTTCCTGCACATATAGARATCTTCCTATTGCCAGTGACTTACTTCCAGAAATTCTGATGTGCCATTGCACTCAGAATATAAATTCTACCAAAATYGAAACTTTGGACATTTTTAGTGTATCTGTAAAATATCTGCTTTAGATCCAGATTTATATTTCAGCAACAAGATGCAATTAAAAAGCTGTAAAATAGTGTTGTGAACTTTGTTGTTTATTTGAAACTTAATCAACAAATATTTCCAGAGAGGTTTCGTGTAAACTGTAAGTGAAAAGTACATCAGATATTGTTTGAAAGTTGGGTCTTCAAAACAAAGTGGGAAAACTCCAAAATATGTAGACAGTAAATCTGACAGTCATGGAATTCGTTGAACATGTTTTCAGCAAATAGATGTGTTAACCCTTTACTGCATAACTAAAGTACCTTGGGCTACCGTGTTATTTTGTATTAACCTCTATGCTTTTTTGCATAGGTACGTGCTCACCAGTTAGTTTTACCRCCTTGTGATGTAGTGATCAAAGCCGTAGCTGACTATGTCCGTAATATTCAGGACACCACTGATTTGGATGCCATAGCAAAGGATGTTTTCCAACATTCACAGGTAAAATAAAAGATAATGTGAAGGTCTTTTGGTTTGTATAAGAAAATGGGCTTGAAGATTTGGATTAAATAAAAATAAGGGGTTTTAACTATTGGCAAATGTCTTGAGTGCCCTAATTTAATTTCCTACACTTTTGGAAGGTAAAGTTGTTATTTTTTGCTTGATGCTCTAAAGTTAATTTCATGATAACCAAAAGAATTTTGTTGTTTGTGTACTGTTGTTGTGAGTCTATGATATGTGAAGATATCATTTTCAAACTTTATCTTTGCAGGGTTTGCCAAAGTATTGTGATATCTGTGATGGAAGGAAGTCACAGTACTGTTGGGCCCTTAGGCTTTAGTATTGTATGTGATAGGGTGCAAGGTTCTGTGTTACCATAGTGTGCTGACCTATAGATGACAGGCTCGGATTTGCTCATGAAAGAGATTTTTTTTTTTGTTGTTTTCTATTTTAGTCTAGAACAGATGACAAAGTTACTCGATTTAAGAGAGCAGTTGCTTATTACTCAGCAACGAATAAGCCTATGCCATTTCATCCACCACATTACCTAGGTACGTATGGAACATGTTCATTTTAACTAAAAGCTGTTATCAGCAGATTTGTTTTTTAAATGCTTATATTTAATGGCAATTTTCATTAACATTTGTTTTGAAAGACAAAATATCCTTAGGTTTCAGGCAGAGGTTGTGTTTATTCCCTGCAATGAGAGTAACAATCTGACCTGATTTTAATCTTAGCTATTGCTGATTCCATTCCAGCATTAGGGCAGTTAGGAGGGTAATGCAGTAAACAGGCAAAATCTGGTCGCTGGTTCCAGTCATAAAGACAGCTTCTATTTCTTTTCCATAAAACATATTTCCTGTTTGTGACTGAACTTTGCTGATATACCTTAGAAATCATTTTATAGTGATTGATTCTTTGGTGCTGTAATACAGTTGCTTAAATTGCAATCCAAAATTATATTGGATTATTGGCAGTAAAGATTATTCTCATGGTTAACTCCCCGYATAACCACCTGATCACCTACAACATATCTCATTTTTAAACATGTTTTAAATACAATTTTCCCTGCAAATTGGTTCTAGTCAAATTTGCTAAGAGTTTCAGTCACCATACTGGTCTATTAGTGTCGATAGTTTTCCTCCTTTATTTATATTTTTACATTCAAAGAGCTATATGAAAGAGCATTAGGGCTCCACTAAGTCTAGTATTTGTATGATAAAAACTGTCAGCATTAAGTCATCTGTCTTTTTGGCCAACTTCTTGTTTAGGACCACTCTTGGACTTTTTCCCCATTAAGCTTCCTGTGATTCCCATAGAAATAGGCATAGTGAGAGATACAAACAATTGAGTGAAGGTAAAACAAGTAAAATAGACTTTACGTGTTAGAGAGGAAATGTACTTTTTAAGAGGTAAAGGGGGGAAAAAAAAAGACCTGTTTTAGGCTTAATAGAAAATAGTAATGTTAACAGAACAAGAAAAATAAACTATAGAGATAAAAAGGAGAAAGGTAAAAATTTTGTCAAATACATTCACAAAAACGTTCATTATTTATTTTTTCTTCCTGTGTATTATTTTCCCCTCTTCTGCTTGCAATAAAACAGCCAGACCAAATCAGTTTGGAATGCCTGGTATAGTGCCACCATATGTTCCTTCTCAGATGCTTAACATTCCACAGACCTCACTACAAGCAAAACCTGTGGTAAGTGCAGCCTTCTGCTCTCTCAGGCTAAGTGTAAGAAATAAATTATGCCAGCTGAATTAAAATCAGGGTGGGAGTGTATAACTCGCCTTTCAGCCCRGGTGTTTGCTCTAAATTTTAACATTGGAACTATAATGATGCTGCAGACCCTAGGAAAAGCATTTTTGTGAATGTTCAAGAAGGCTGAGGTCTAATTGCTTACCTTTGAAAAATGCTACTTAGTTGAACAACACACGCTGTTTTAAAAGAAAAGTCTTTTTTTTTTTAACCTCTGCTTAAGAAAAACTACTTTATTCTAGGCCCAGCAGATGTCCAGTCAGGGTGGTGCCCAAGGTCAGGGTCCATACCCATATAATCTCTCTGAGCCAGCCATCACCTTGGAAACAGGTGGAAAAAGTCTTTCTGAGCAGAACAACTACAGTAACATTCCTCACGAAGGAAAACACACACCGTTGTATGAGCGATCTTCTCCCATAAACCCAGCTCAGAGTGGGAGCCCTAATCATGTGGATTCAACCTATTTTCCTGCCTCTTCTACATCTTCCTCCTCCGACAACGATGAAGGCAATGGAGGTGCAGTGAAGTAAGTTTTCCCATGAAAGTATTCTTTTGGCTTATATTTGTTTTCAAAATTCTTTGTCAGAATCCTGGAAGTTAAGAAATTTACATGTTAGTGATATGAGAGACTTTCAGGTCACTCTGCAAACACATCTGTACACTCTAGTGCTCTTGTTCTTTATAAAACACCAAAACTAAACAAGTCTGGATTTTTTTGTTTGCTCTCCATTCCARTTCTGTGCTAACAGCTTATTAAAACAAGGAAAGAATCAGTGAGCTTTTGGTAAATGTTGTAAAACCTTATATTACTTCATATAAAATGGTCTTACTCCACTTTAGAATTCATTAAAAATTCAGTGGCCAAAAATACAAAATATTTCTGACTTTATGATTTTTATACTTCTAGAATTTTGGGATAATGTGATTTTGCAGTGAGACCTGAATGTCARATACAAAATTTAAGGCAGTGACTGAAGAGCTTTCCTTGACAGACTGTGTGGAGCTAAGCGGCAATGAAAATGCTCTTCCCTATTCATGTGCCTGTTTAGTGCTGAAGTATTCCTGATCATCTAGATCAGATATCCATCTTTAGCAACAAAGTTGTGCAGACTTTCAYTTGATTGCTACTTACTGACCTACAAAGAGGAAATTTGAGCAGAGGCTGTTTGTATTTACTTTTGTCTTGTTAGTCGTAGTAGCTTACCATGTGAGAACCAAAGCCCGTGGCTTTAGAAAGTCTACAAAACATTCTCCTGAATGGTTGAGCCTTTGTATCTTAATAYGTATTTCTATGTGTTTTTCAATTCTTAGTGTATCTGCAACTATGAAATATGTATTAGACTTGGCTTTTCTGATGTAGTCTTTTTGCATTAAATGTATTAATGTGTTTTGCTTAAAAAAAAGAACAAATAAGTTTGCATAGTTGCCATAGAGTGCAGAACTGGATACTTAGCTGTTTTGGACAAAACGATGTAACATATTATTTTCAGAATTTTTCATAGTCTTGTGTCTGTATTTTATGCAGAAAGTTTAGAATGAATTTAGCACTAAAGTCCAGACAATATTATTTATATCACTCTTGGTTGAATTGATCTTCTGACTGGGGGAATTTACTTGGCATAATGTAGAATATTTAAAGTTCAATCATGAATTCTTCCTGTTTGAATATTTATTGTAAGAGTTTCTGTATGTCTTTTAAATATAATCCAAATAATGACATAGTATAAATGAAAAAAATGTAGTTGAAGTGTCTTCTGGACTTCAAATTTCTAAAACATAGGACCTCTGAAAATTATAGTTGTCTCTGGTTGATATGCCCTTTGTGACTGTTAGTGGAACAATTGCATTATATCTTAACCATTGCATTAATGCTGTTTTTTTTCCTTTGTGTTGTCATTCAGCCATGTCAGTGGGAACAAAATAGGCTGGGAAAAAACAGGAACCCAGTCAGAAAGTCAAACACGTGGAGACCTGGGTGACCAAACAAAGGTAATTTAAGTTTCAAACATCGCAATTTATTATTTTGTATCAAAGTTCAATGACAAGCCTCTGAGTATAACTTTCAGAATTAATCTGTAGAATTTGGAGTAAATTTTTGTAAATTCTTTTGTGAATTACAAAGCAATGGCTTTAAAATACAGTAAGAAGAAGAAATATTATATATATAAAAAGAAAAATAGCCAGTGTTAGAAAATATTAGATGCAAAATAACAGAAACAAACCCATAGACTTGTTTAGTTTTTACAGCGGTATCCTTCTTGAATATTGCTACCCTTTTTAAAGTACTCTCCCACTCTGATTTTAGTAAAGAGAACAGCAAACTCAATTGAACAAACACAGGATCCAGCCCCTGCACCCTGCAGTGGAGTGAGAGCACCTCTAACACACTTTTTAAAATTAGTCACAGAGGCAGTTAGAGGTGGGTAGTTGCTTTCAACTGTGTGTATTAAAACTYAGCAAAGGAGTAAAAGTGCATTACAACTGCCTGGTATGAATTACACATAATGCATCTTAAGGTAGCTCTGTGGTACCAATTAGCATGTACTGGGCTTTACTGAGGCTGGGATGACTGAGCCCTTGCTAAAGACTTAACATTATCCTATTAGATTTCTTCTGGTTAAAAAAAAAATAATATCATTTTCAAATTAAGAGCTGGAGGGCTCATATTCCATGGTTCTGCAGTGTTTCAGCAAGAATGTTCAAAGCATTTACCCTTGGTATCTCTGTATCTCTGCGATAGCTGTACACAAACTATTCAATCTGTCATTAAATTAGAGCCATTCAGTTGTGAGGTGCTTGTGCTGCAGGAAAAGAGAGGAATGTTTTCCCTGTACCTTTGGCATAGAAATTCCAGTAAACTTTGGCACTTGGCTCTGTGCTTAAAATATCAAGCTGATGATTTCATCCATCAGTGCTCTTATTTTTGCAGGCACCACCCTGTGTGATAACTGTGTCTGCCTGTGGCTTAGCCAGGATGCCTGAGACACTAACGTGACCCATAGTGTTGCTTTTTGTCCCTGCTAGGGGACATGCAGGAACCCTGGTGCATCGCCCCGTGGGGGGCCTTGAATGCGCACGGGCCTTGTGAGAAGGGGAAGGGAATGGGTGGAAGAGCAGGAGCAGGTGGGAGGAAGGGGATGGGAATGGGTGGAACAGCAGCAGGGGCAGGCAGCGCTGCAGCCTTTGGGCTCCTGCCCTCAGCTGGGTGGCTGATGGCTGGGCTGGAGTCCCCCTGTCCGTCTGTGTGGGCACAGTTGGAGCTGTATAAGCAGTGCCTAGACTTTGAAATGGTTTTTATGCATGCAGCCCAGCAGAAGTGCATCCAATTTAACGTGTAAATGCTTTGAGTTTTACTCGCCTGTTTTTTTAATAGCAAACTGCTGCTTCAGCTTTCAGTGGCAAGAGAAGATAGCAGTATCTGTTAAGCATGGCAGAGGGAATTGTGAGTACAGTTTTGTAGATGAACTTCCTGTGGAGCTATAAATAAAATCATTTTTAAAATGTTTATACTTCAGTTTTTCTTAATTTTCTTATATCAATTGCTCTAAATTTTCTGAAGATTTTCATTTTGGAATGAGATACGTGAATTTCTGAGGCATTTTACATGGTCAGAATCTAGCTTCACCAACAGGTAGCACCAGTGTTCATATTCATTTTTCTTTGATTTAGATGTCAAAAATCTTTGAGTGTGGTTGTCTCACAGTGTGGTCGCTGTGTGATATGACTAAGGCACGCTCGCCTCATTTGGGCAGATGAATAATGCTAAAATTTACTTGTAACTATGGCAATTCCTCAGCTTTAAYAGGCTCAAAAGAAGCTGGGTAGTGCAAACGGATATTATATTGCTGCAGTTGAGTATTTTACTCTCTTCAGTCCCTTTTTTTTTCCACTAATTGCCTTTTGCTACCAAACAAAGGAAAAGGGCCTTCAGGAAGTTATCAGTCTTCAAAATCGTTTGGAAGACTTTGGATAATTCCTTTTACATATTGACACAACATGAAGTGATTGTTRCTTTCAGTGAGTGAAGGAAATCTCTTCTCTCTGTTGGTTAATCTTCTGGTGTGTTTCTATACACATTAAAAAGCACTTTTCTTTTGTATATTCTGTTACAGGCAGAAGGTTCCTCTAGTGCTTCTTCAGGAAGTCAGGCAGCTGATGTCAAAGGGAATCAAGCCAGTAATCCACAAATCCCATGCCTGTTGTCAATGCCCACCAGAAATCACATGGATATTACTACCCCTCCATTACCTCCTGTAGCACCTGAAGTATTACGAGTTGCAGAACACAGGCACAAGAAGGGGTTAATGTATCCCTACATCTTTCATGTCCTAACCAAGGTATGAAATTTTAAATTATACAAAACAGTGATTCTGTAAAGATAATTGCACTTAAATCTCTGGCTAACCCCATCATGATTTTGCATCTTTTTTGTTGCCTTGAGTTTTGGTCTTTTTTTCAGTGTTGCTAATGATTTTAATTTCTCCATGTTGTCTAACCACTGTGATTATTAATTGCTGCATTGTTCCAGTAAATGAGAGGGGACTTTTAGAGATACTTACAGAATTACTCGTTTTTTCCTAAATACTTTATTTAATATTTTCATATACCTGCATGTGTGTGTGTCTGCATACATCTAAATGTACACACCTGTATACAGACATATATACAGATGTGTGTGTGTATACACACAGCAGCTCCCACTTGTTTTTGCCAGTTCTACTCATAATCTTATATTTTATACCGAGTCCACCAATACTGTTTCAAATCATTACGCTTAGAAACTACACCGGTGTTTTTTAGAAAGGGTGAGTGTTCTTTTGAAATCTACATCAGCTTTTAGCAGTTGTTCTTGAAGTGTGCTTTGAATATCTGKTAATTCTATAAGCAGATTACTGTATTTTCATATGTACTTTTTCACTGTGRAAATTATCAAGATTTGAAGGTAAGCCTCACCTGCAGATAATCCTGCCACAAAGAGGCATGTGGTGGAGAGGAGAAATTGCGGAGCGGCAGGGATAATCAGAGACTGGAGACTTGTTGGGGGAAAACAAGTTGATCGTAGGGTAATCCTCCTCTAGTGGTACTTCCACGTGCCTGAAATCCACATTGCTGCTGAATCATGTTTTTCTGAACTGGATGAGATTAATTTTAGTGTGGATATCTAAACATTTTCTGTTCACTGTAACGCATCATATGTTTCTGCTTTCTTTCATGTAAAGGGTGAAATCAAAATTGCAGTTTCTATAGAAGATGAAGCCAACAAAGACCTGCCTCCTGCTGCTCTGCTTTATAGGCCAGTTCGTCAGTATGTTTACGGAGTCCTGTTTAGTTTGGCAGAAAGCAGAAAGAAAACTGAAAGACTTGCTTTTAGAAAGAACAGACTTCCACCAGAATGTATGTACTCCAGAATCTATTCTTCTTTCTCCTCCCTTTGCTATGTTTGTATATCAATTTGTACCATGATTTGAATAAGAATAGTTACTAAGGCTTCATGAATGTAGCTAAAGCGGGAGTAATTTATGAGTTCTGCCATCCGATGGATTATAGAAAAAGATATTTTAGTTCATAATTTTACTTTCTATAGTAGTTAACAGCTAGAAATGGTACCATTTGTAAGCAAGTTCTGAAGTTTGCTTTTTAAAATGTATATTCAAGCTACTATTGGGCTTGTACAAAGTAGTGACTTTTTTGATCATAATTTTGAAAGTATATTAAGAGCTTGATTATAGGAAACATCTATTCCATGTTCATACGTGCAGACATGCATACAATTTTTTCAAAATGTTGAATGCCCCTAACTTTCTCTTTACTATGACTGATGTACTTTAGTGTTCACTTTTAGTGAAGCCTCCTTGGAGTATCTTTCAAGTATTTACATATAAAAAAAACCCACCCATATAATGTGTAAAATTCAGGTGTGATGCCTCAGGTAAAGGCAGGCTAAACTCTTGCAGACAGACATGTCACAAGATCTTTTTRTTAATTCACAGGAATTAACATGACTGTTAATCTTGATGTTGATCTGGAAGTTGGCTTTTTAAGTTTTCTGCTCCAGGAATTACTCATGTCAGAAAATTTGGTCTCTTGATGTTGTGAAGTATTTTCTTTTCTCTTTTTTTAATATGAAATGCATAAAAGAAATGATTGAACTTTACACTAGCATCTTAGAAAGGTTACAGTAAAGCTAAAGTAATAAATGGATGGCAGCAGCTGGAAAGTATATACAGAAGTCTGCTGTCAGTAGACTCTATTCAAGAAGCAGGTGCTTAGAATGTTTGAAAKCATCATTCAAATCCTCATGTAAGTGTAAAAATATGAATCATCGGTTCTAAATTTCATTTTCATTCTCTTCCTTTTCATTTTTAATTGTGAAAGGTGTTTTTTGTATCTTCCTATGGAAGGTATAGCTGTTCAACAGTGTTGAAAAAGCTGTTTATATTTGTATTTTCTTGTGAGGAATTAAAATTTGCCATGCTTGAAATATGGCTCTAGAGTGCAAATATAACCCTTTTAACTGACTGTGTATAATACTATTTCAGGATAGAAGATTCAGGATTGAAATAGTAAAGTTACATCCCATATTTGCTTATGCTTATTAGATCTTGTCCTTAAAAGAAWGCTATAAGGATTTTAGGGATGAAATAGCTCCATGCTGAAGGTCTGCTTCAGTCTTCAGAATATTTTCATCCTGTAAACTTAGACTGTTCTCTGTAGACAGCTGGAGATACCTGTGTAATCTCTGTTTTCTCTTCATTTATACTGCTTTTCAGTGGTTTTATCTCTGCCAAGGCTAAGAACACTGCTGCTGACTTGGTTTATTGTTACAGGAGCTCTGGCAAAGCTCGCTGCAGGACGCATTCAGCTACCTGACCTACTTCTATCTTAGGACTGACCATGCTCTTAAAAAGTGGAACATCTGCCCAAATGTTAGTTGCTTCCCTGCAAGGCTAAAAAAGGCAGTAAAGATGAACTGAGCTAAGATGCATGCCTGTAGTTTGAAGGAGCTGTGATGCAGAAGTACATTTCTTTTCATCACCTCTCCTACAAGGCTCTGGGCTTTGGCCAGAGACTGTAGAAGACAGTAAAGGAGAAACAGCCCTTATTTAAACAGCCTGAACAAATTGATCATCTTTGTACAGACTGTAACTCTAGCAGGGTAGTGCATTTTATGGTGCGTAACTTCCAAGTACATTGTATGTCAGGATTATGAGAAGCTATGAAATGTACATTTTAAACTTTGCCTGTCAGTATCATTGCTAAAAAGCAAAACAGTAAAAATGTTTGGTTTTTTTTTCCATGAAACAAATTTCTTCCCACCTTTTAAATGGTAGTTATTTTATGTAGTTGGAAAGAAAAAAAATCTGTTGGAAGGAGCAATCACTGAGTTTGTATCTGCTAAATTGTGCTTGTGCTATATGTGTCCTCATGTCTGCTACCTGGGGATATAAAAAGCTGAATAGCAAAGTTCTTTAATGTGCTTTTACTGCCAGCTGGGAAGCACAGGCTGTGCTTCGCTTGCTTGTGAGAAGATGGAATTAAAACTATTCTTTTCAAACCATGAAGTGGGTTATTCCCCAAGTTCTAATAAATACATAGACGTGTGAGAAACTATCAACTCTTTGGACTTTTTGAAAAAGTGCACACCTGTACAAGCTGTTATAACTCTTGGTTGAATCCACATGTTTGTTATTTTAAGCCTAGCCGCCCTGTGATGTTCTGTGATGTACATCCACCATCTATTCAGCTGACACCCTTGCTGCTGAAAGGGAGGCCATCTCCTGGGCAGTCGCCTTGTGTGCAAAATCAGTGAAGACCATAAAGCTAAAAATGAGGCTCGATTAGTTTGCACTAGCTGGCTCATCTTCTGAATCTTTATCAAGAGAGTCACATTGATGCAGGTCAATTTTGACCTTTTTTGCTTAATCTGACTTTAAAGTGCTTTGAGAATAATGTTCAAAGCACGTGTTAATACTTTGCACAGTTACTTAGGCTACATTGAGTATTAAAATCTACCTACGAGCAGCAGGAGGGAGTTTAGTATTTAAAAAAAAAATAAATAAAAGTATAAGCTAGCTCTGCGATGTTTTATCTCAACATACTCTGATGGGTGAGTACATTTGTCGCAGACATTTCTTATGTCCGGGTGGAAGTCCTGGAAGGAAATGTGAAGCATTCCCCCAAGGACACCTGTCCTCATAGGCTGAGGAAGGCGGTAGTTTTGGCACCAGTCCCAGTTGTCAAATGTGCAAGAAATGCCCYGGGGAAATAGCTAGACAGGGACATGTCCTAGATTGGTCGTTGCGTTAAATTCTAAATTTGGGTGAACAGTACTGTGGTTACCTGTCAACTGATGCAGTTAATTCCTCTTTCCCTCCTTTCAGAAAGGACACTGTTTACCAGGCCACCCAAGTGACCATTTTATTAAACTACTGCTGAGGAAAAACAGTTACCYTTCCAATAGTAATAATTATTTTTCAGAATTTTGAAGTCAGGATGGATCTCTGATGTAGTCTCTACAGGGCAGCATAGAAGATACTTTTTTGAGAGCTAATGGAGGTGTTCCTACTGTGTTCTTAATCTTACAGATTTATGGAAGTTGTCGACCTGAGACAGAAAGCTTTGAACCGATTTTGGATGCTGAAAGACAGGATTGCAGATAGAAAATACAGACATAAGCGATTCCCTTTTTGTAAACTTGAGGTTTTCTACAACACAGCATACATAGAAAAAAATGRCGAAACGTTTGTGTTTTGTAGGAATTTGTCTTCTTGCTAGTGTCTGTTGTTGTAGGAGTCATAGAAATTGAAGAGAAGGTTTTCTGAGAGTATTTAAGAGTATAATCTGAGAGTATTATCTGCTCGCCCCTAGAGGGGCCTCCACACTGAGAAGCTGACTATAGCTAGGAATATGACCTCCAGTATGAAAAGGAAAGAAGATAAAAAACACAAATAACTACCTTATGTCAGCTATCTACAGTTTTATTTTATTTTTTACTGCTGAACAGTTTAAGCTGTTTCACATGGAACCCATTGTGTTTCCCAGCTGTTCACTGAGAGCACTGGGAAGTTTTTGGTCCGGAAGTCTCTCTCCCTTCTAAGACATTAAACTTCTAAGCAATTAAAACCATCTATTATTTGGAAACCCACATAAAATGCATCCTTTTATTTATTCACGTTTCCTCTGCTGGTGTCCAGAGCAGTGCTGGTGGCCAAGGGAGAAGGGAACAGCAGGGTGATAAGCCCTGCACAAATATTGGAGTAGCTTTGCTGGCTGTTGAAGCCCATTTTGAACAGCTTAGTGGAGTATAAAAAAAATGGGAGCAGCCCAAATAGAACATGATTCTGTAGTGAGGGTACCCACTATACCAAAACATTTATTTTCATTGCTGTGTGCTGTCCTTGTAAAGCTTTTCCTTTGGTTTGTTAACTGTAACTGTGGTGCTAGAGGGGTTTTACTGCAGGAAGGCACCGGCGAGGCCTTGCGAGGTTCTCGGGGCGCGCGGCTCCTGAGCGCTGCCTCTCGCTGTGAAGCTGACGTGTGCGGCAGAGGAATCTCTGCAGCCCTCGGGGCTCTGCTGGCCTCCCAGCCCGCGCGGAGGCATTGGGAGCAGCCGGAGGGAGTCTGTTCCCTGCTCAGTGCTGGTGACCGGGGAGTCTCTCGGGCCGTAACCCGACGCTTTGCTAACGAGCTGCTCCAGTCTTTCCGCGCTGCAGAMCTGGGCCCTCAGTGAGGACGGGTGCAAACGGGGTTCGAGCCGTGGCAAACCAGGGGTCCTTCCCAGGCCAAAGATACCATTTCTTGATTTAAAAACAACAACAAAATTCTCTTAGTTGCCTTCAARTATAGAAAAAGAGAAATGAGAGAAATACCTTAGCAGCCATATGGAGTTGAGACTTTTTTTTTGATGAAAGAGGCCATAGCAGACACACAATTACTAACCTTTTTAATACAGTACAGTGCAGTTAATTGAAAGTGATAAGTTCTCATTCCCTTACAGTAGTTGTTCAACCACGAACAACTGTGACATGAGTTCTGAAGTACTGATTTTAAAATGTCAGTAGGACAGTAGTATATTTATAGTTTTGTATTGCTTTCAGAAGAGCACATTGTACATTGATTTTACATCAATCGATGTATTGATGTACTTTAGGTTTTTAAACAAGATACTCTGGGGGAAATTGCGTTTTCAAATTTTGTTTTTTCTTCATTTTCAAAGATTACACGTAGGTCCTTAATGTTGTATATTCATTTGAAAATATGTCAACATTCTTTTTTCGTCGGAAGTGCTTGATTTGTAAATGATCGCAGTTCAAAGATGATTGGTATGAAGTACTGTAATGCTCTCAGTTTATAAGGATTTCATACAGTATTTTCTAAATACACTTTTTAACTGTTTTTTTATTTTTATTTTTATTTTTATTTCTTATTCTCAACTGTAGTTTCACCGGTGATAATTAAAGAATGGGCTGCTTACAAAGGCAAATCTCCTCAGACCCCTGAGCTGGTGGAAGCACTTGCGTTCAGGGAATGGACCTGTCCTAATCTGAAGAAGCTGTGGCTGGGAAAAGCAGTAGAAGATAAGAACCGAAGAATGAGGGCATTTTTGGCCTGTATGAGATCAGATACACCAGCAATGCTCAATCCAACTAATGTGCCCACTCATCTTATGGTGCTCTGTTGTGTACTAAGGTCAGTGTTACCTTAAGGTGAAGCAGAGTGAAGGAAAGGTTTTCCCGCGCTGCCTAATCTCTCTGACATATTTAACTGCATTAAACTATGAGTTTAGAAAGCATTAATTTATATTAGTTTATGGAGGGATATTTTYCTTTTAGAGCGTCACTTGTGAGTCCTAGAAGCTTCAAGGCTTCTTTCTGGAGCAAAAAGGAGGAAAAGAAAAAATCTTGCGTTGCTAAGAGGCCGCTGTAGCATTTGAATTAGCTTACATTTGTTACACTCCAGCCTACTAGAAAATAACATTTGGTGTCTCAGCAGCTGGGGTGGTGAAGTTGTGAAGCAAAAGAGAATGCATTTCATAGACAGCTGCTTAGCAGCATGGAAAGTTCATGTACATGATGTTCTGCCTGTCGTGTTAGATTCCTTGTGCCCATGTAGCTGGTGTGATGATAACCTGCATGATGACCTGACGATAACTGCTGTTGAAGTACAGTACTAACAAGGAAACCACAAGGTCCAAATTACTTACCTGTTTAATTTTCAGATTGGAACTGGACTAGGAATTTGAGAGATCCTTACCTTTTGGAAAGGGGTGATTATTTTGATATGATTGCTTATAAATCTGACAGAAGCCAAAGTTAGCATGTGGTGCAGGAAAAATTTTAAGCCATCTTAAGACTGATAAATGTACATTTATCTTTGGTTCTACTTCACTTTCTCCTGTCCTGTGAGCACTAAAGCTCGCTTCTCTTTTTCCTCATAGAATACTAAATATACAAATGTAGACCAAGGGGTATCTTAAAGCAGAACTTCACACTCATTTATACAACAAGTTTCTTTCCTGTGACATATTACTTATACAGATTAGATGTAAAGTTTTACTCAGCACTTGTTTGGAATGACAAGTGTAAAATTCACTGACTAGATCATTTTTGAATGATGGATGATGTGAAAACATATTCCATTAGTCCTTCCATTAGTCTTTAGTTTTTAGACCTTTAGTCTTTATATTATTTTATTTTTATATGTACCGTAATGCACTTTGGGTTTACATTCTGTTTTGGTGAGCTGTCCTCCATTTCCTCACTGAAAGTGGGCTGTTCTGGTGTGATTTATGTAACTGATTCACAGCCAGCAGCTCTTCTATGTGATTTAAAAAAAAAAAAAAAAAAAAAAAAAAAAAGAGAGAGAGAGAAGCTTTAAATCTTCTGGTTTGGCTATATACTTGCATTCTGGTGACTTCTGATCATGTAAAATACCACTTAATTTAGTAGTTAAAATAAGGATGTAAATAATTCTTGACTTCCTCTGTAGGTATATGGTACAGTGGCCAGGGGTTCGTATACTTCGTCGCCAAGAACTTGATGCTTTTCTTGCCCAAGCATTGTCTCCAAAGCTCTATGAGCCTGACCAGCTTCAGGAACTCAAGGTAATTCTTACCTCTGACTTCCATAACAAAAAGTATTCCCAGCTGATCCACACTGTTAACTGTACTGGGTGCATGTGCCTGTCTCACCTTAGATACTTAAACCTTAGATATTTATATATGCTTTCAAAGATATTAATCTTGTAGGGGTTTTTTTGTTGGGTTTTTTTTTTGTGTGTGTGTGTGTGATTTTTTCTTTTTTTAAGTGTGGCAAAGACCATTAATTAGTTCTGTTTCATTCATTTGATTGATAGGTAAAATTTTAAGATGTCTTCCTTGCACACATTTTCTTCTCATTTTCTAAGTAACTGTTTCTTAGAAGTTTAAATCAAATGTTTTCATTGGTATTTTTCCATGGTTCAGCATTTAAAAAAGAATTACAGTTTGTGTTCCAGGTAAAGAAATGAGAGACTTGCATAACTCAGAATGGGAAAATGCAGGAGAAAGGGAAACATTTATTAATACATAGAGAATTATGGAATTAATTGTTCTGAGGATTTTGAAAATTTAAATCATTAAGTTTTTATTTTTTTCTAATACAGTAGTAGTRTTTGAAGTTAATACAGCTAGTTAAGGGGTAGAATCCTATGGCAGTATCCTATTGTAAGCATGGAGTGCATCTCAGTCTGCAACATCCCCTTACTGTGTGGTATTTTGCCAACCAGCCTTCATATATTCACAGTGGATTTTCCTTTTCTAATCTTTGGATTAAAATACACAGAAAATCTGGGTTTAATTTTTCTTTGTTTGCAAACCACAAACTTYTGTACTCTGAATCAAGAAAGTGATACAATTTAGTCTTTTATTTGATAAAGTTTTTTTCTGAATGGAAATAATTGTACACACATTTTTACATATATTACAAATTCTGCATAACCAAAGATCAGTGATTAACTGGGAACTATGGGAGGCAGTTGATATGTGGGGAATGCACAACCTTAAGGTATCGGTCATATCTCCCGTCGGCACCAATGATCGACAAACCAAAGGTGTTGAAGTCACCTCTTCATCCTGTACCCTCAGTCTGGAAGAAGGCATCTCAGATGGCCTTTCAGGTTCTTATATATAATGTGGAGGGCTAAAATTAGGAAAGTCTCCTAACCAGTTCTGCTCCSAGCAGTCTGCTGGGACCCATGCTGTCTTTAGTTAAAATTGCAAGGACAAAAAGGTTCCCTTTTTCGACTTGATTCGTGTGCACACCTACACAGTCGCGAAATGGCACAGACCAAAGCAGCACTCCTAGCACTGCGTTTGCAGAAGCAATGCCAATTAAGGTCACACAGATATAGACTACCAGGTTTTTCTAGGGAATAGTTTGCTGCTCAAAGCTAATCAACAAGAGCATTCTCAAAGCCAGCAGTTGACTGATTTCTCATCTGCGGACGACAGGCAGCTTCACTCTTGCATGTAGCACTCTGGCAAGGACTTCTTGGACTCATTCTATAAACCAGATGAACCTGCGTGCAGAATCTCAGCTCTTAGGCATAGATGTGCTAATAAGTGTAAGGGAAAGAAAACAATTGAATCCACTTAAGAAGCTATTTGACTTTGTCACTTGGAAAGAGAATTCACATTTTATGAATCTAAATGGCAGAGTTTAACAGAAAATCTAAATCCTCTTCTGAAGGATTCATACTGAAGAATGAATACCAAATGCATATAATATACATATAAATACATAAAATACATATAATTAATACTAAAAGTTCCAAAAAAATCCAACAGAAATAAATTACTCTGACCTTTCATGATTCAAAAAAGGAAGAAACACAGGACAAAGCTACAGCAGAGATGAGAGGAATTCTTGCAAGACTGCTCGTTTGTTTCAGCGCTTACAACTGGATTGCTGTTCGTATGGATTACAAGAATATGAGACTCGTGAGAACAACATTTCTGTGTACTCCTCTACTGATAATTTCTTGAAGGGAGCCTAAATGCAGCCCAGCAGGAGAATTGCTGAGACATTTGAACTCCCCTTGAAGATGTTTACTAGACATTCACCCTGGAAACAGTGGGTGCTTATTGGGCTTTCAGAATCCCAGGGTGGTGGCTCTAAGTACAAGATGACTTTCTGCACTGTATGRAGAGCAGTGCTTTGCCTTAAGGGAAGCACGTGGCCAAGCTTTATCCAAGGACTGAAGTGAGAAGAGGATACCCCACATGTTAAGAAGACATATATTTATGCTCATCTGAGGTAACAAATGCTGGAGTGTGGAATAGTACAGGACATCTACCTTGACGTTTTGAAGCCAAATAATTGCACCTACGGGTGTAGGTAGAAACTCAAGTAATAATTTTGTAGGCAGGGCTGGATATGTCAAAGAACACAGTGTGTATTAGCAACCTCAATGTCCACTTTCAGAACTCAATAAACAAGTAACATCAAAGGGCACAGATTTTGGTAAAGGTATCTACAGGAGTTACCAAGCAAATAGTCTTGCCTCTGTCTTTGGGCTTGGTGAAAAGAGGAGGAAACCCCACTGTGAAAGTTGCTGGATTTAGAGATCTAAGAAAGGAATTCCCAGATAAATTTTTTGAATTCCAACCAAAAAACGAAAGGCTGAGACAAGGCAAGTGATAAACAGGGTACAAGCATTTTTGTTTAATAGAAATTGTTCTCCACGTTTTATTTTTAAATCATACATGGAGAGTTATATGGACCATTTCCCTAATATTTGTGGTTAACTGAAAGATGCAATATTTCGTGCAATGTTGTTACTGTCTTCATATGAAGCAGCTGCCTCTCTTTTTGTTGAAGTCAGACAGAAAGAGCAGCTGAGTTTGAACCCAGCTGCATATCTGCAAAACGATCTGGATAGTCTTTTGGATCTTACAGGTTGCTTAAGCATAAGGAAGGTAATGTAGTTTGATTTTAAAATTTAATACCAAAGTCTTGAAAATGTTCCCAAGGAAGGACTGATATTTTTTAAATATATTGGCAAATGTTAGTGTTATTTTTTTTGTTTCTAAGCTAAAAATATTTGCCACAAGCAACTTTTTGTTTCTACTCTGAGCTCTTATTCATGATATAATTTTACCTTTGCATATCTATACTGAATTTTAAATAAAACTCTTGTATTCACAAAAAAAAAAATCACTTTGTTAATAGGAGCCACATTCTCTAACATTGGAAAATTTGAAAAAGCTAATTGAAATTCTGTTATAAAGGAGTTGGAAGGGAGATGTGATATGTGGGAAGAAAGCTGGAATTCTCTTTTTGAGTTCATTCCTGAAGCTTTCTAAAAAGTGAAAAGTATCTCAGAAATGCAAGATTGTTTGGAAGAAATTGTCATATTTTTAATGAATTTTTCTACAGATAATTTTGTATAAATATCTTAAAAGCTCCTGTTGCTGCAGTATGCTTTAGCATTGATCGAAAAACTGTACTTCATCTTTATGAATGATCTTAATGTAGCTGAAGCATGCATCATATATGTTTTACACTAGAAAAAGCCACAATTTAAAGATGTATACTCCTTCCCTTGAAATTTACTGTCTCCTTGATGATAAATTGAATTCTAACATGAAATACTAGGGACTATTTCATGTGCTTTCTGTTTGAGGCAACAGAATTCTGTTTTTTTTCTCTCATCTCTTGGATGGACAGAAGCAACATCTTTGTGTATTGCAGTTTTGCCTGTATATGTGATAGGTTATGCGGCACTCTGCTAGCTGAAGAGGCAACAGAGCATGAAGTTTGGATAACTTCTTAAACTTGCTTTATTTTCATGAGTTTTGAAAATAATATACCTATTGGAATTATTTTGTATTACTTCTCTTTATTACATTACTAAACTTTTTTTTTTTTTTACCAGATTGAGAATCTCGATCCCCGAGGAATTCAGCTGTCCGCTTTATTTATGAGCGGTGTCGATATGGCGCTTTTTGCAAACGATGCCTGCGGACAGCCAATTCCATGGGAGCACTGCTGTCCGTGGATGTACTTCGATGGAAAGTTGTTCCAGACCAAGCTCATCAAAGCAAGCCGGGAGAAAGTTCCTCTCATTGACCTCTGTGATGGTCAGGTGTGTAGTTTTAGACTGTTATAAGCTAATATCAAGTGTGCTAAACTTTCCCAAGTGTTAGATGTGATTTATCAGTCATTATTTAATGTGTTACCTGTCTACTTGAAAGGGAAATGAAAGGTGTATAGTTAATAGGTATCTGTCAGCTTGCTATATGTCTCTTACTTTCTTGCTGGTTGAGATGGCATTTTAGTAGATGTTACAAAAAATAAACTGATGGAATTTTTTCTTGGATTTCATTTTGATCCTTTCCGGAAACTGAAGTTTGAATGCAGCTATGATGTAATGAGCTACTTTAGCTGGAAACTCCATGCTCCTTCATGCAAGTAATGCCATCTTTTTGCATCAAGATGGCATTGTGGTCACAAAGGACTAAGCTGTGATGAATTTATGGAGAAAGAAAACTTCATATTTTACCCTCAACAAAGTCATTCTTGTGTCCCATAAGTTCAAAATTTCTTCATGTTTCTTACAGCCATCTTGAAAGTACAAATATGTGATATGACTTAGTTACAATAAAAAGTTACTATCTTATAATAACTACACTGTAACTAGTTATAAAAACAGGAAACTAGTTTTATGAGTAACTAGTTTTAGGAAAAATGTTCTCACTATCCATCTTCTTTTGCTTTCCTCTGTGAATCTGATATGTAAATATTACACAATTGAAATCAAAATTGTAACGTCTGTTTGTGACCTTCTCTTTACTCATAGGCTGAGCAGGCAGCCAAGGTTGAAAAGATGCGTCAGAGCATCCTAGAAGGATTAAATTTCTCCAGGCAGAATCATCCTCTCCCTTTCCCGCCTCCACCTGCCATGCCTTTCTATCCAGCTTCTATGTATCCTCGACACTTTGGGCCAGTCCCACCACCTCAGGGCAGGGGGAGAGGCTTTGCTGGTAAGTGATGGGACGGCAGCATGATGCACATCTCGTCTTTCATGCCATAATACTGTAAAATCATTTGCTTGTTTAATTTCGTGGGGAAAAATAGGTAAAAATAAGTGGTTAGCCTGTTGTGTGCCAGTCACTGCATTTTGTTGTAGTTTTTATTAGCGACAGCTTAGCAATGCAGAATGTGTTGTGGTGCTGCATATTTCCATCTGGATTTTTAGTAGCTGTGCCAGATCAAATAGTTTTAGAGCTATTGTATGAAAAAGTAAAAAGAGGAACGGATCAACATGGAATCATATGACAAAGCTCTTATTTGCACTGTTCTTTAAAAAGTTTATGTTTATAAATACTCAAAATGCCTTAATTAACGGGCACAGTTTAACTGCCAGGGTTGATGACAACCTTTCTTCCTTCCCATCCCTCATTATTTTGCTATAGTCACTTAACTCTTGGCACCTCAAGTGAGTCTACGTACTGGAGGTCACTGAATAAACCACTCCAGGCTGTTCCTAGATGTATTCCCTTCTTCATAACCATACCCTCAGATACAGGGAGCTGTTTGTACGTTAACACTGGACACCCAGAGCAAGGCATTCGTGGGGTGCCACAGCTGTAGCCATTGAAGCTCGCAGCCACGAAGCTGCCACAGGCCCCTTTCCGTGCCAGGCCTGCCCTCCGCCTCAGGAGCCCTGTTGCACCCGAGGCCTGGGGGCGCGGGCGGCTCGTACCCGAGGCGGGAGGCGCGGGCCGGGGCGCTCCGCGGTGCCGCCGGGGCGCTGGCAGCAGCTTCTCTGCTAGGGGAGCTCCCACGGGCCCGGCCCCCTCACCGCTTTTCCCCTGTCTTTCTTTACCCTGGGTCTAACAGGAGTCTATGGCTTCGGAGGCCCTTATGGGGATACAGTAGCCACAGGCGCTTACCGGGCCTTCCGGGTGGCAGCAGCAGCAGGACACTCCGGAGCCTTCTCTGGCAATGACAGCAACAGGACTAGCAAGTTTCAGGGCGGTAATTATACCCCGAACCCCTTTCTTAGAGCTTCTGGCAACAGCTTCCTTCACTTCATGGTTTGGTCTGAGGCTTTCTACTGACTGCCCGTTTCCCCTTCTCCCTAACTGTCTGCAGCTCTTGCTCTTCTCGAGCCTTCTCAGGTCGCTGTAAAACCACTCACTGTCTGCTCTGCTCTCCTAGAGCCTTTTCCCTAGGTTCCTTTGGCAAACTGGTCTCAGTGTCAACCTGTCTCTTACACGCCTAGAAAATCCTTGTTCAAATACAGGACAGTTTTAAAATTGAATGGGATGTTCCATCTCCTGTGCTTTAAAATGTTAGGATGGACYGTGTAGCCAAGTGATCTTTTCTTGAATGCATTAGCAACTATCTTCTAAAACTGGAGGACGATTGAGTTTTTTGGGGGGAAAATAAAAAGAAGACACAGTATGGAAATTCTTGGCTTTTGTGTTACCCCTAACCCATTTTTTCCACTGGTGTTGCATCAGTGTGGACAGAGGCACAAGATTTATTTGTGTTCATTGCTTTTCTRTAAAGTGAGATAGCAGAAAACTGTTAATTCTCATTACTCACTTAAGGTAGACATTTTTCCTYGTACTTAGATGGGGCTTTTTGGCCTCTGAGCTTTCATTCTAAGACGAAACATACCTGTAACGCTTCATTGTGTGAATAACGTTGCCACTGTGAACAATATGCATTTGAAGCTGAAAGGCTAGTACAGAGCAGTATGAACCTTTCTGAATTTAATCAGCAATTTAGTTCCTAGTGAATTAACGTTTGAGGACTAATCATGGCTGCATAGATGCTGTTTTGCAACCCTTTTAGTGCTGCCAGTCTTACCAGTAACATCTGGCTCGATTGTGCTTACCTAAATATCTTGAAATATCTATTAGGCCCTCATGCTGTTTTAAGGGCAAGAAACAGATAAAAAATGAACCTAATAGAAGTTACATTTGTAGTTTGGACAATTATATTTCTGCTGCTTTATTGAGAAAGAGTAAACTTATCTTTCACATCGAGGTCAGTTTAAATGTTACATTTTTGTAACAGCTTAGCATTAGTGCAGCTAGTTCTGCCAAAAAAGTTTTTCACAGAAATGATGATCTTTATGTCTTATGCTCGTATTTGATGTTCAGTAAAAAATGCATTTAAACTTAGAAAAACCTTTCTTCATTAAGAATATAGTAAAAAGAATAATCTTCAGATAGCTTGCAAAAATTTACTTCAGCTTCTTAATGCTGATCTAACATGTATTTTTGATTACTGAAACTGGAGTTATCAAGTAATCATGTCCCAATTCAGAATTCATATATATGTAGTAAAAAAAAAAAAAAAAAAAAAGAAAACACTCTTGGAATTACAGTTCTTCTGAGTGACCACAAAATGAGAAGGGAAACCATATGTCATAAAATTTAGGGGAACATGTTTTCCATTCACTAGTAACTTCCATGTAATGATTGTGAATATCAAGTTCTGGTTTTGCTTTTATATGCAGGAGTCCAACCTATTCCTTCTCAGGGAGGGAAACTTGAAATTGCCGGCACTGTAGTCGGCCATTGGGCTGGAAGCAGACGTGGACGAGGGGGTAGAGGGCCATTTCCTCTGCAGGTCGTTTCTGTCGGAGGACCAGCAAGAGGGTAAGTGCAACTTGGAGGATAYAGTAATTGGAATAGAAGTAGAACTTGGAAAAGAAGGGGCATTAGAAATTCCATGCAATGCCTTTGGGATGCAGTAGGTATATTATGACTGCTGACTATTTTCAAGAAGCTATTTACATTCAAGTTCTTTTTTCCATGGTTTTAGTTATTCTGTGCATTACAGAACCGTCTATCATCCTGAATTAGGTTGCGTGCATTACAGTAGACAGCTCCCAAAGTTGCCATGTGATTCATGTATTCTGTCTGCCTTTAGCTGTATTAAAGGAGTGGAGTACGGTAGGTACATTTCATATCATCCTGAGCCGGGAAGCAGTCKGAAAGAGTAAGTCTGAGCTGTGTGAATTTCTCTCTAACCTTACTTTCATCAAGTACACGCTGTGAAGCTTGAGGCTAAAGTCAATGTTAACTGTTTGATTGCCTCTGTTGGACTGAGTGAGGAAATGATGGGACCTAAAGTCCTGCAAGAAGGGAATCAGGAGAGGGAGAAGTAAGAAAAGCAGCAATGAATAACAGCAAGGAAGTAGACTGGGTGTAAGAGGAAAGAAAAAGGACATTTTAAAGTGAGTGGGTTTAGTCAGGAACCTTTTATACTCTAAAATGAGATTTGGGTCCCAAAACATTGGCATCAAGTGCTGTTTCAGACACATTGGACAGCTATTCATGGGGAACGGTACAGGTTAAAGGACACCTCTGTTCCTGCAGAATAGCATCAGAAATCAGTGGATTAACCTAACGTGATGAGACACCAACCTCCTTTAGGTATTTTAATCTTACTCTTCAATTTTAGTGCACAGCATTGTTCACCATTTAAATGAGATTTGTGGTTATAAATTCTCCTGCTAATCAATACAACTTAAAAGTAGAGTCTGTGTAAGGGCTTTCTTAACTTGAATCCACTGTCTGTGCTAGTGTTTCTGGTAAAGGGTGAGGTAATTTATAGTGACCTAACCAAGGGTGTTGTCTGAAGCATCATGACTGATTATCAGGAGACACTTTCAGGCACTCATCTGTCTTACATTTGTACATACTATTGACTTTATTCATTTGAATAGCAGTTTCTTAATTTTTGAAGACGCAAACACATGATTTTGTGGAAGTAATGCAGGAAATAATCCTGGCAGGTCTTAAGTGCCTTGTTTACCTATGAGCAGTGAAATCACTGAAAGGGTGTTATTGCTTCTGTAGCTACGTTTATGATGCAGAAGGGTTGCAGAGGTGCAACCTTTGGGCAGTTAGGTTTGAATGCAGGTTTGAATGCAAGTGGTCACCTCAGAAAAATAGAAAAAATCCGAATATCAAACCTTCGTGTCTCAGTCGCATCCTACTGAGTTAAAACTACTGAATTAAACACTTAAGAGTTACTAAAGTTACTCAAAGAGTAAGAACTACCACAGATAGTGATAGCATCAATCAATACTAAAAATAAAATAGGGAAACGCTTAAGTGTGTACCATCTAAAAACATCTTTAAAAATCRAGTTCCCTGCCTGTGGATGCTATTTGCTGCTAAGGGACTCTTTAGTAAGCAAGTGCAYGCTTTTTTCCTCTACACTTGATTGTCCAGTTCCACACACCTCTCTTTCATTTTTTTATTACGTTCAGCCAAAAGGATCAGGTAAGACATGCCAAAACTATTCTGTCGTACCTCTTGGCAACATTAAAGTTGAGGTTCTTACCATTCTATACCAATTATACCATATGCCTTCCTTAGCTGTATTCTGTCGATATATCTAGTATGATATGAGTCGGAGTTGGACAAATCTGTTATTAGCTCCCTGAAGGGTATACTCACACCATTTACATAATTAGGTCAAAAAAAAAAATTGTAATCTTTACCAAGAAAGAAGCAAGASTAATTGCAATGTAAAATATACTACATTTCCCGTTTAGTCTTTTTTTTTTCTTCTTAAATTCCATTATTTAATTGATTATTGCTGAATGTGGGAATTTGCTGGGTGTGAAAAGACACCCAGCACAGAACAGTGTTTCTGCACTGAGTCAGTTCAACTTAACTCAGTTGTTCCAGCGCAACAGCAGCAGGAAGTAGCAGCGCTAAGCAAAAACTTAGGCTGCTTTTTTTTGCAAAATCAGCTCACAGGGCCCTTACTGGCATATGGGATTTGTCAAGTAATGAAACATTAGCTATATGGAAAGTGAGGTATGGTTGGGAATTGCAGCTGTCATTTGGTGCCAGAATGGCCTGCTGTGCAGTTGCAGCCCACACAGCTTGGAAGCTGCTGGGTGCAGAGCTGGACCTGAGCACCGTGTGTCTGTTCCCTGTGCGCCCCAGAGGGGTCAGTGGTGACACTGGGACCTCACAGTGTGAGGCAGTGGGTCTGGAGGAGAAGTGGGCAATCTGTTACTCTTTGTTTTTCCAGGAGAGAAAATGAAAACAATTTTTTAGGCGAGAAGTAGTCCTTGACATAATAATAAAGGAAGTTAAGTTTCTGTAATTGTGTGCATTAAAATAGTTTGGGTTGGGTGAAAGTTTATTTTGTCTGATCTAATCTTTATTTAATCAAATAGAAAAGCCACCACCTGATGTGTCCTGGTTGGAAGCCTACATTTGAAAATGTTGCAAACTTGATAAATTGCTACGTGTGTCAGTTGTGCCTGAAGCCTCCATTTTTTTTCCTTGTGTTCTTAGATCACTTCGTATTCTCGCATCAAAACCAAAGCAATTTTGTATTTTCCTCCCTTTTATCTGATTTCTTCTGTGTCTGGCATGGGAGGTCGATGGGAAGTGTTATTAAATGGGAAGAAATTGGCTTAAAAATGGTTGAGATTGCTTGTGCATTCTTTTTGAAATAGAACTATTTTGATCTCTTACAGTCTGTAAAGATAACTTGATACTATAAAGATGTTTTTGCAAAAATTGAAAATACTCATTTCTCTTTTAAAAGTGAGCTATAGAAATAGTCATCTAATTACTAGGAAAACAAAAAGTTGCTTAGAATTTATGCACTTGCAAGTAGTGGAACCCTGTAGTTGTGAATTGATTAAATACATTGCTGSTTTAAAGAAAGATGGATTTTAGTTACTAGATAATAAAGCTAAAGAAAATATTAAGGAAACTAATAATTGAAATGCTTTTAAACAAAGTTCATGTGTGTCATTCTTTCTTCCCTTTTTTCTTTTCCTCAATGCGTACAGGCGTCCTAGAGGAGTTATTTCCACTCCAGTGATAAGAACTTTTGGAAGAGGTGGAAGGTACTATGGGAGAGGTTATAAAAGCCAGGGAGCAATTCAGGTAATAAAGCCATGTGCTTGACTTCAATACACTCYGGTTACAGGCTAGTGTATATAGTGTGCACTTCCAGGCCAGCTAATATTGATCAGCACAACTGAAAAAGATGAAAGTGTTTCTTTCACTGATGCAGCCTACTTGTTACAAAGAAGCTGGAAAATATATTTTGATGTGAAGGCAGCGCTTACACAGTGCCAGTTATCTATGAGAACAGGAGAGAGTTTAAAATAATGAGAGAAGTTGAAATAAGAGTTAGCAAATATTTCAACACAAATATTAAGGAAGCCTGGAGAAAGAACTTCCAAATGCATTGGGCTTTACTGCAGGTTTACACCTGTAAACCTAGCTCAGAGAGCACTTCAGGCAGACTTAACAGAAAGCTAGTTTTGGACATTCCTRTTTTTTTAATTATATGTAATCTAGATGGTAAGTGCCTGACATCTCAAGTTTCATGATCTAAAACTGAACCTGTACTATGGAGAAGAAAGATAAATGGTGACATTTTCTGTAGATTAGTTTCTGAGCTCATTAAAATCCTACCATTGCCAGTCAATAATTAATGCATTTTATAGTTTACATTTCTACTACAGGAAGAGTAAAAGAATGGATTCAGATGCATGTGGCAAAGGAGAACTTGGGGAAACTAAATGCATTGAGGGTAGATTTCAATAACTAATTAAGATTAGCTGGCAACRGTGTTCTTAACTGTCCTACAAACCTAGGCACTTAAGGAAAGAGTGCTTGCCTGGGGCCAGACTCCAGTATGCACTTTTATACCAAGTAAGATCCTCCSCATAGAATCCACTGTCTTTATTGATTTTACTAGTGAGGTGATATGGGTAAAGTTTAGAGGTACATGATTGCAAACAGCAGATTGTACTCAGCAAATATGAAAAATTAGTATTTCTTAAATAAAATCTTTTGCCCTTGATTCTGTAAGAAAAAGCTTACATTTAAAGTAAAACATAACACTTCTTAGGAAAGCCTAAAAATACAGACATTTACCCCTGTGCTAGGTATGCACTGGCCTCTTACACCAGCTGTGTATCACTGCAGTGTTGCTACAAAATGCTATTTTGTGATTTCCTGGAAAGCAMGTGTATGATGCTGATATTAGACACCAACTGTTTTTAAGTATTTCACCTACAAAATCCTCTAGCAATTCAGAAAAGAGTTAACCAGGCTGTTGCCAGTATGTCAGATTGAAGATTATTATATTACAGAACTGTACTGCTGCTTGAGGTGTGTAAGGCGTCCATATCTTAGCCATTTCTTAGTACTTGACTTTAAAGGTGTGATTGATAACAACGTTGCTTCTTAGCAGCCCAAGCTACTTGTATTTTGTTGTTTAGAAATTACTGTGCTTCTGCTGGTATTCATTGCTGCAGATACTTSAAAGCTAAATATGGGATCTATTGCTATCTGTTTTTTATTGCTGTGCTCAGTCTTGTGAGACCCTACTATATGCTTCCTATATGAAATCAGCTGCCTAATCTCAAAAGTATAGACCAGTTTAGATAGGATTGCATGATACTTTTGCACTTTAATATTTGTCTGCAAATAAGCTTTGATTGTATTTGAGTAATATGTAATGTCATTAAATTATATTATCTGCGAACGAAGAAGCAGTTAAGCTCTATATTGATTCTCAGCTTTGGTATTTCCAGGCTTTTATGTGGCCCCTGGATCACAAATAAGTGTCAGAGTGTAAAGTGCAGTTAACCAAAGGAGTATAAAACAGCATGAGTAGAAAGCACTCAGAAATACTGAAATTCTTTCACCTCTGTGCTGTCCTATGCAGCTAATTCTGGATGCCACCTCTTATTTCAGCAGTCTATGCTACTACAGTGTTCACCTGTGGTATTTCCACACACTGCATGCTGCCCATTAATAGTGTCACTTGAACAGATTGCAGATACATAGTGGTTCTTCAGTAATTTTCTTCTTTTTTCAAAAAATAGGGCAAACCTCCTTATGCTGCTTCAGCAGAAGAAGTAGCCAAAGAACTTAAGTCAAAATCAGAGGAATCTAAATCCTCAATTGTGTCTTCAGATGGATCCCTGGCCGAAAATGGAGTTGTGAATGAGGAAAAACCAGCTTCCCAGATGAATGGGAATACAGGAGACATCAGGGCTTCCAATCAGTCTGAAAGTGCCTTGAGTAATGACTCTAAAATGTGCAATACAAATCCTCACTTAAATGCACTAAATGCAGACAGTGTTTGCCATAAAGATGATGCTCTTGAGGCCACTGTCTTAAAAAAAGAAGAGTAAACTTATTTTTTATAGAGGGTGAAGGATGTTGGGAAGGGTCAGGATTAGGAATATCTGGAAAGAAAGAGAGCCTACAGTTACGTACATTTTTTCCTTTCCGTAAGAGAAAAATGAGGACTTTGGAAATTCGGATCCCTCTTTGATGTCAGAGATTTAAACAACACATTTTTAGTTTTAACCAGTTGTAGTCAAAATGCTACAATAAAACAAAAAAGAAAGAGAATGAAGAGCATTTGACTCCCGCACTTAAAATGAAGTATACATAAAGTTTAAACTGGTTATGACAAAAGCTTGTAGTTTTGTTTTTTGAAATATAAAGAAAACAAATTTTGGCAGTCTTTAAGTATATATAGCTTAAAATATAATTTTTAGTACTTGGCACCATATGTATGCCATTATATTTGATTTTGCATTACTGTGTCACAATAAAGCTTTCTTTAAGGCTTTGATTTCATGATTATGGGGGGAAAAAGGCACAACCACAGTTTTTTCTTTCTTAAATTTCATCACCGTTGATGTGGTTCTTTTGTGTTAAAATGTGCAAACTATCGAAACTAAAAATTATAGAGTAATATTGCAGTTCTGCTGATTTTAAATATACATCATACATACATTACAAGCAAGTTAAATGGAGATAACTTGAAATCATAGAAGATGCAAATGACCTTTCAAAATAAACACAATGTGTTCTGAAACTTTTTGTGACTAATACCATGCATCCGTGATCAATGAACTATGTGGTTTTGAATCAGACGTAGACCATTAGTACTACTATTTGAGCTAAACTTCTGCATGGTTCATAATTTTTAAAGTGTGTAGTTAATATTATGCATGTTATTGTCCTCTTTCTTCCATTCTTACAAGTACTGTGCCCATTTGCAAAACAAAAAGCTAATAATCAGTAATAGTCCTATAAAAGATGTTAACTATGTTTAGTCATTGACTGATCTTGCTCTAACCTTAAAATTTTGTGATTATTGACCTCTGTTGCATTTATTCTAAAACTTAAAAAAAAAAAAAATTATCTAGCCGTTTTGAATATCAACGTTACCCTGGTGTACTCATTGCTGTATGCATTATTGTTCTCTGTTGCTGTTTTATGCCTTCATATTAGCAAATATGAAATTCTGTGAAAAACAAAAAAAAAAAAAGCTTTGATCTTCAAAAAAAAAAAAAAGTACCCCCCTTCTGTAGCAGGAAACAAATGGCTTGTTCTTGAGAACTTTCCCATCAAGAATTTAGTATAAGCAAATATACCTGTATCATTTTGATGTTTTTGTTAGTGTTTCCAAACTTAATGTACTTCAAAATCAGAATCATTTCTTTATATTCGTTTTCATATAATTCTCCTGATGCTCTTCATCACACATTAGTGATCAGAAATGAGGTGTAATTCCCCATTCCCTGCCCGCAAGAGCTAAGTAGGTATCTTAATGTAAGTTGAAGGGAGTTCTGCCCCAACTCATGGATTGTGCAAGAATGAACTACTGTTGGGTTTGATTGGTTGTAGATGGATTGTGGTGTGGTGTATTTGAAGGCTATTGAATGCAACTTACAGTGCTTAATAAAAATCTTTATTCTTTTAGTATAAAATACTGTATGCCTTTTTTGTCAAGTATTTTTTTAATTAACATGTTGTAAATAAAAGTTTTCCTATGCCCAAATAAAGTGATTGAGTTAGCAGCCTGCATGATGTTCTCCCGAGAGGTGGAGAGGGAGAATGGATCGGAGCCGCTGCCAGCGCCGGGGAGCGGCACACTGGCCTGCGTAATGCCTCGTCCGTTGATCTTATGCAGCTACTGCGAATGTCCCTTCTCAGACACAGATGGTTAATATGATGCAAGTATTTGACTGAAGTTTTTCTTTTGAAAAGAAAAGGGTAAAAAAACAATGACCGGGGGTGGTTGGGTGATGCAGCAGCGGTGGTTGCAGTGCCGGCGCTGGACCTGCCGGCACCGCGGCTCCTCGTGCCGGCTGCTGCTGCCATCACGGACAGCGCGCTGCCTGGGGAGGGCTCTGCTGCTGTCCAACACACCCCGACCCTGCGCTGCCCCCCTCCAGCCTCCCCTGGTGCCCGACACGCGGTGTCTTCCCCGAGCGTTTCTCCTCTCGCCTTGTGTCTATCCGAGTGGTGTTACCGGCTCCGTGCCCTCCACGGGGATGCAGTTTGTGGCAGCACTGCTGCGTCCTGAGCGGTTGCAGCAGTCATCCTCCCTCCCTGCAGGAGGAACGTGCTGGCGAGCAGCAGTTTGGCCCGTGTAGCTGCAGCCTTGCTGGGCATCCTGCTGCCCAGCTCTGCCCCCGTGGTGTCYCTCCCCAGCCCACACTTGTCACTTGTTCCTGTCCTGTGTTAGAGCTTGTTTATTCTGGGAGGATGACCTGGCCTCTTGTGCTGCAGTTACGAGTTAGCAGTTGCCCTCTTTCCCAGCAACATTTACAGTTGCAGCATAAACCAGATGTTTGCATGGAAGTAGGAGCAGCAGTCAAAGCTTGGCTCTAACTAGTGTACAGGGGAGGTTTTACGAGTGCAGCACTCGCCRCAAGTATGGGATCTTCACTCTAACCACGCCAGCAGTGTTTTTCACGTGAAATCAGGGTGTGGAAAGCCATCCACGCAAATCCCGTATGTATTCATTCATTTGTGAGAATTTATATCCCCTCTGTGCAAATCATACCAGGTTAGCGATGAGAACACCTGGCAGGCCGGCCAGGAGTGAGTGATGTTAGCGAGGTGGGGTAGGTGACTGAGTGCCAGGGTGCTCGGAGCTGAGCGTGGACTACTGTGCGTACAGGAGGGAGCGGGTTGTGCTCCGTGAGTCTGCACTGCCCGGACGGGAGCGGCACACGGGCGCTGTCCTGCACCGGGCAAAGCGGGGCCAAGGAGCGACACAGCGAGGGTGTCCTGGTCCCCCTGCTACAAATGCAGAAGTCTTGATGAAGCAGCAAATAACATGTTTAAAATGTAATCCTGTTGTAGAGAGTCATGTTTTCCCTGGAGCCTGCACTCCCACAGCCATGAGGTGGATTCTCCTGAGGAACACCCTTAGCAGGTTTCCTTGTGCGTCTGCAGATGCGCATGAYGTTATGAGAACTTTTTTGATGTGTTAATTAAAGCAGTTAGCATTTTTTAATAATTAGCATCCACGTCTAGACAGGTCCCGCACAGGTGCCAAAACAGGGCTGTGAACTCCAGGCCGTGGCAGGTCTGTGCCGGGCGGGAGCTGTCCCGGCAGCTCCCCGGAGTCCCTGTGCAGCGGCAGGGCACGAAACTCCGCGGGGAGCTGCAGGGAGCCGGGAAYGGGGCTGGAGAGCAAGGAACAGGCTACTCCTCCCCTAAGAGCTCTCATCRGTGACCCCCCAAACCGCGCCAGGCGTGGGGCGTACTGAGCAGAGCCGGCCTGTGCCCTGTGCCGCTGGCTGTAATTCGCTAGTAGCGGTCGGCGCGCTGAGGTCGGTCGCTTTGGGGCATTCGTTTCACACCCGTTCGGAGTCTGTAAGCGCAGGCAGGGAGGCAGGGACGGTGCCGGGGCCAGGCAGGCCGTCCCCGAGGAGCAGGGACCGGCGCGGGAGCAGCCTGGGCCGCCCCGGCCGCCGCTGCAGAGCGCACGGCGCCACCGGCCTCGCCGGCTCCGACGCCCCTCGTCCGTACGCTCTCCTCTGCCCTGGCACGGGCCCTCAGCAAACAGCAGCGGGAAAGTTAGAAATACTTGGAAATTCTCTTCTGCTTGGTCAAGGCGCGACTTCCTTCCCAAGGAATGATCCCACCTGGGGAGCCCTGGCAAAACSTGGCGGGGAGGCTGCGAAAATGAGAGCTGCGCTGATGGCAGCGGTGGGATCCTTCCTGACTTTCATCTTTATTCAGTTTTAGAAGGGAAAATGTCGCAGGGACTGTGATTTTAGCAGAGTTYAGCTCCCAGGTAACTGTTTTTGCTTTGTCTGCTGCTTTTGCCTTGGAGAATGCTTGGGGGAGGCTTCACGCCTGCCCTTCTCCGTGAGCTGTCCTGCGCAGCTGCCCCATGAGCTTTGCGAGGGCAATGGAAGCTGCCGAGCGCCTGCGGGCGGAGCTTCCTTCCCTCCTTCCCGGCCTTCCCCGGCTCTGTGGCGCAGGAGCAGAGGCAGCGGGAGGGAGCCTGCGCCGCGGCACAATAACAAAGGCCAAGTCCGTGCCAAGTTACGAAACTTTATTTACAAACGTTTATAAGAAACACTTTGTGTGAGGCTCCACCGTGGCCACAGCACTCGTGTAACTGTGGCCAGAACCGTTTTTAAAGCCCTTTTTGGAGCTGCTGCCTGGTGCGGGGAGCTGTCGGCGCTGGGAGATGCTCCCGGTGCGGGAGCAGTACCAGGAAAGCCGGGATCTGCTCTCTCCTCCCAAAAGGCATSGGAAGAAGCCAGGAGCCAGCAGGGATAGACAGGAAGGGGCTCCAAGGTGCCCTGCGAACCCTCGGGCGCCGCCGCGGCCCCTCGCCCTCAGCGCTGGCCGGATCGCGGGCACTTCCGGGCACCGACGGATCTGCGGATCTGGATTTGCGGCCGCTACGTGTCCTCGTCCCGCCTCGCTGCCGCTGCAGCCAGCGGAAGCCCCGCTCCTTTGGGACTCGTGAAGCAGGGACGGCCGGGAATGCCCMAAAGAGGGAGGCAGAGGGAGGCGCTGGGGTTTCCAGGCGGAGGTTTCCATTTTCCAGGCCAGACAGCGCTGGCGCCGCGGCGGCGACACCGGCTCGCGGGGCCTGAAGGGGGCCCGTGTGCGCCCGGCCGCCCGCGCCGGAGCCCCGCACGCGTCCCGGACACGTCCTGGGCCAGGAGGCGCCACTCGCCTCCYGATCCTCAGCAGCCTCGCTAAGGACAAGGCCTAAGCACCGGGGATCTGCTGCTGTACATAAAACACAGGCACTAAGGGCGTTGTGGAAATAGCGTTATGTATGTATACATATGGGGAAGGAGCACAGTTCCTGGGGAAAGAGCACAATTCCAGGCCTGTTTATGCTCATGTTTATCTTCCAGAGCTCCCTGCCTTGCTAATGCCACTGCACTGCACGGACACGCCAAGCCGCAGTGAGCAGTGATTGCTGATGAGCGGGTCTCCCACCTGAGGGCAATTAATTCAGCTGATTAGGGTTAATGCAGGCCAGGTCACAGCTAAAGGTGGGTCTTGATGGGGGTGCTTCTGGGTGGCAGTTTGGCACTGTGGGGGTCCTGAAGGTCTGAGACAGGATGGTGGTCAGCCCCACRAGCTGCTCCAGGTAACTTGCCCTGTCCTGGTGGGGCCTGTGGAGAGGYGAGGTCAGCCCCGGAGAGCCTTGGCTGTGCTGCTGTCACCTGCCTGGTGAGGTGCTGTGTTAGCTGGGCCCCTGCAGTGGGGTCCTGTGTCTGGGGGCTGCCTGGTCCCCTCTGGCCCCAGCACTGCAACCTCTGGCTCTGGGATGGAGTTTCCCGCCTCTCCTGGGGTGGTGGCAGGGTTGGTTGGTGGCCTGTGTGCCCCTGCTGCTCGTAGGGCAGGGAAGATGACTTCTGTCTGCCTGTGTGAGGATCCTGGGGTGGGAGGCAAGGCCAGTGGGTGAGCTTTGGGTATCGTATTGAAGGCAGTGAAGGTTGTGGTCACGTCACCTGCTGGTTGTGGGTTCCTGCATTGATGTGACCTTAGATGYTTTCCACAGCGTGGAGAGAAGTGTTCATTGTGTTCACCAAGGGGGTTCCAATGGGTCAGAATAAGCTGATGAGAAAAGGGGCCCTGCAGTCCTGATCTGCATGCTGTAAGTTGGTGCTTCTAGGTTGGTGCAGCATGCTCAGCTCAGCCCGGCTCCTGCTGAGGTTTAAATGCTCCTCCTGGAGGTGAAATGTGATGTGGTGTTTGTTGCACATGCAGGGTGAGCCATGAGCCCAATACATGGGTAAGGCATGTGGTTGGCTTGAAAAATGATAGCCATAATTATTAGAATGAACTTCAGGGKTTTTTTTCTATATAAGCTGGTAGTGAAGACTAAGTACTTTTACCTTGCCTCTGCTACCCATCTTGGGATGAGAGAAGCAGTTGCTTTTCCCTGTACAGCATCACAATTAACTCCTCTCCATTTAATTCTTGGGTCATATAGATAAAAACACCTGTCTGTGCTGCCTGGCCTACCAGCTCTGCAGTGGGAGCTCCAATGAGCTGCCTAAAAGCACCACCAGGAAAACCAGGACAGCTGCTTCCAGCAGTGAAGCCTGAGCCCTGCTTCACTGCTTCCTCAGATTGCAATGGTCACCCATGACTTTGCTGGGCAAAATGATGTGTAGCCAGCACGATGCTTTCTGTCTATGTGGGCTTTAAGCTTCAGGAACGTGCTTAACAGCAATATTTCTATTGCTGAAATGAACACTTGCTTCTGTCACTGAGCTTAGTAAAATGTGACAGTCATTTCACTACTTTACATCCTGCTGTAAAATACAGATGGTAAACACTTGGGAAAAAAAATCCGTACACAACGTTCATTAAATTGTAGGAGGCTTT